TCTAAAAATTAAAAAACAATACTCAGTGTAGGTAAGAATGTAGGGAACTAGAATTTATATACTGTGCTGGCAAGAGTATAATTTGGTAGCAACATTTTGGAAGAGAACATAAGCACCAAAGCCTGAAAGATGTGCACGCCCTTTGATATACAAATTCCACTGCTCAGAATTTAAACTAAAGAAATAATTAAAGATTTTAAGAAGGACTTGACAGCAAGAATGCTTATTCAAGCACTGTAAAGTTAGAAATAACTGGTGTGTCCAAAAGAGGGAATGATTAAATTGCCATATATCCCCAAATGGACTGCAGCAATTTATATTATGGGAGGAGATTTATATTGTATAAAAATTATAATAAGTATGTTATAATCTCATATTTGTAAAAAAATATGATTGCAGGTAGAAAAGATTTTGGGAGATGTTATTAATTGGTTCTTGTGAATGGGTAGATTTGCTTTTGCTTGTCAATATTTTTTAAGCTTTCTATATACATTGCTATCATAATTCAAAAAAACAAGCTTTATATTTTTTAGTTAAAAAAGGAAACTAAAGTTATTATAGCTGTAATCTGAAATAAATATTATTGAAATATATTTTTCTTTTTCTTTTTTACCAAGCCATCCATTCCTCACATTAGATTTTGCTTGGCTTACTTGCTCTGGCTGAAGTAAGAGAGGAAATGCTCTTGGTTTAATTGCTATGGCAACAAGAGTTGAAAGAAATCTTAGATACCATTTAGTCTAGTCCTTTTCATTTCACAAAATAAACTCAAGAGCAGTCCAAGAGATTGGGTGATTTACTTAAGGTCACAAGGATAGTTGAACAGCAACTACAATATAATCTCCAAATTCCTATTCCACTTATTTTCAAGAAACTAGCTTAATTAATACCCAGGTCAGTGATCCTGGCTGCCAAGCTGGCTTTGGGAAGGGAGTATAGCAGCTGTGCCAACAGGAAAATCTAAGCAAAATCATAAATTAGTTAAGCAAAAACCTATAAACTCAACACCAGATTGAACCCTTAAGTGTCAAAGGAAACAGAAAAACACCTAACAACAGAACACAAGGAGTCTTTCCTGTTGCTTCATATTGACTTTTTTGGGAGGATATCGATTTTGAAACAAAGAGTTTTTGTGTTTAAGGTACTCACAAGTATCCTAGGCTAACCACCACCACTACCACTACTACTACTATTGTGTATGTTAAATTCAATATGGCTTAAGTATTTAATAGAAATTCCCTCAAAAATGTAACAAAGTGAGTTTGTTACTTCAAGGAAAACAACTGAGAGTATTTGTTACCAATGATAAAATTTCAGCTTTCAAATGAAAACTATAATTTTGAAACTGTATCTTCTACATGAGCTTGCCAACATGAGGGAGATTGTAATGCAGCAAACTACTACTTTTTGAATGACCAATGTCTGATATTATAAAATCATGTATGGGTAAAAGATCCATTCAAAATTTAGGAGAGTAATTATTCCCCATCTCAGCATTTACCCTCCTTTTCCCTTTCTTTTTTTTTTAATTTATATTTTATTTTTATATTCCCCATACAATTACAACCCCCTTATTTTGACCCCAATCCCTCCTTTCCCTGCCCCCCCATCCCCCCATATAGTGTCTCTGGTTTATAGTTGTTTATTGATTTTGATATTTTCTTTCTTACAGTTATTCTTTTTCCTGGTCCCTTATTTAAGTTTTCGAGATTCCTGCTATGAGTAAGACCATCCGGTATTTTTCTTTTTCTTTCTGGCTTATTTCGCTGAGCATGACCCCTTCCAGTTCCATCCATGTTGCTGCAAATTGCATGAGGGGCATGATACCCATATAGTTGAGGCAAAGAGAATATAAAAAAATCTGTGCTTGTTTCTGGTGTACACTCTCAGAGGTCCTTGGCGACTGGTATATACAGCAGGTGGGGTGCTTAAATGTCTGCTACTCTTGGATCTTTGCTTTTATAATCTGCTTTTACAAGGCCTATTTAAGGAGTCTACTTTACTGCTGGCAGGGGAGTCGAACACAATAAAGCTATATTTAAAAAATTAAAAAAACCCACAAAATTTAGGAGAGACCCACAGATTTTAATGTAACAGAGCACAAAAAGTAAATTGATAGTTTCAGATGCCACGTTGCAACAAACCTGAAAATACTATCACTTGTCAAACTTTCAAGCAATATCAAAGAATATCAATGATTATCTAAAAGAAGCTATTAAAATACACCTCTCTTTACAGCTACCGATGAATAAGAGGTGCAATTTTCTTCAGCTTTTTAAATCAAAACAAAATAGTGCAACAGATTAAATGCAGAAACACATGGAAGAATCCAGCTATCTTTTACCATCATATTTTTTGCAGGAAAACAAAAACAATGCCACTGCTATGATAGTTTTTTTTTTTAAAAGGTATTAATGAAAAATAAAAGGTATTAATGAAGATGTGAAGAAATTGGAACCCTCACTCACTGTTGATGTAAAACAGTACAGCTGCTATGGAATTTTGATGGTTTCTCAAAAAATTAATCATGGAATTACCATATGATCCAGCAATTATACTTTTAGGTATATATCACAAATAACTGAAAGCGGGGTCTCAAAGAGACACATGTACATTAATAATCACGGTAGCATTTTTCAAAATAGCCAAAAGCTGGCAACAACCCAAAAGTCCATCAATGGATGAATGGACAAATGAAATGTGTTATTTATACAATGGAATATTATTCAGCTTTAAAAAGGAAGGAAATTCTGACGCATTTCAACACAGATGATCCTTAAAAACACTACGCTAACAGAAATATGCCAGTCACAAAATGTAAAAAATCGGATGATTCTACTTGTATGAGTTAAGTAGGAAAAGTCAAATTTATAGACACGAAAGACTGGGAAAGAGAGTAATGGCGAGTTATTATTTAAGGATGCAGAGTTTCACTTTGCGATGATGAAAATGTTCTAGAGATGGATAGTGCACTACAATGGCTGCACTACAATGCGAATATACTTAAATATCACGGAGTTGCGCAATTAAAATAGTAAATTTTATGTTATATATATTTTACCACAATAAAAATAGAAAACAAAAATGCAATGTCATTTTTCTCACTGATTTTTTTTTTCAGAGGGGTTTTGGAAATAATTCTTTTTCACTGTGTATGTAGTGAGTTTATCAACTTTTTTTTTTAAAAGCAATACTTTAAAATATCCCAGTTTTAATTTCTAATTGGTAATATGGAAAGATATAATCCACATAAACAGAAGATCTTTGGTCCTTTATCTCCTTTGAGAGGTAAAGGGGTCCTGAGACCAAAAAGTTTGAGAACCACTGTTTTAGATGAAATTAATTCTTTCTTGTCACACCTACATTATGTGAAGATCTTCATGTGTTGGTATAACTTCATTTGACAGCTGTAACACTGGCAGTCTGGAGACTACCAAAAAAAAAAAAAAAAAGAACAGCTTGAAATGATCAAATCCATCACATTAACTCTTCATAATTACTGTCATCTCCTAAACGCACCATCAGGACCAAGCAACACAAAGCTCCGCATAGATAAGTGGCAGTGCAGGACAGAAAACTGTTAACAACATTACATGCTCATGTGTTCCATAGTAGTTTTATAACTATACTATCTAGCAAGAAACACACGTTTCCTTTTTTTTTTCCCCTCTATTGGGTCTTCATTAGGATTTACAGTTCAAGGCTAGATTTGGAAAGGGTGGTACTAAAGACATTGTTTCGGAAAACCATTAGATCCAGCGCATCCGTGCGAAGAATTTAATTCTCTCAACATCTTGTCACTGCTGTTGCGGAGGGGTGTGGTTCGAGAGCTAGGAAGCAAGCCACAACAGCAGCTGAGGCTGCCCAAAGCCATGTCCAAGCAATAATTTCCTTCATTTTGGGCTCAATTTGCCTCGGCAAGAAGCTGAATATTTTATGGGGGAGGAAGTAAACGCAAAGGAAATTCGCAGACATGGACGGAATTAAGCAAAACCACAGCGGCTTCATCTCCCGTGGACGTGTCATGATTGGTATGCTAATGATGTACGTGAGGGACAACTGAGAATTGTCATTCCCGAATTACAGCTGCGGCACTTTAAATGACAGCTCTGCAGTTCGGGGGTGGGGGTTGGGGGGGCAAAAGTCAAATGGTTTTCTTATTCGGATCGTCTCTCTGAATTCCTTTTGGGCCAGGCCTCTGACCCGTCCCGCTAACCGCAGCTCCGGCCGTCCCTAACAAAGGAGAATGGACGCCCTCCCGAGGGAGCGGAGGCGGGAAGATGGCCCCGAGTCACCGCGCCAGGTGTCCCTCAGGGCAGACCGCGCGGGCTGGGGGGGGGGGGGGGGGGGGGGAGGGCGCCGGCAATGTCGCAGGGGTGCGGTCGGGAAAGGCCGGGCCCGGGCGTTTGACACCGCCTGGGCAGAAGCCCCCTCCCTGCCCACGGTCAAGGTTACCCCGCGCGCGGGAGGTACCTGTGGAGGCCTCGCACAGCCGAGAGGCACCGGGCGATCATGGGAGCGCCGAGACTGCTGGCGGCGGGCGCGCTGTCCTCGCGTTCGGGTCGGGGCAGCGGGACGCGCAGGGGCCCGGAGGCGGCCTAGCCGCGGAGGTTACGGCGGTGCCTACCCGGCCCCAGCCCTCCCACGTGCGGCAGCTCCACGCCGGCGCCCACTTGGCCCCGCCCCGGCCGGCGCCCGCCCCGCCCACCCCGCGCCCCCGCCCCGCCCCGCCCCGCCCCGCCCCCCGCCCCGTGCGTCCTGCGCCGCCCCGGGGGCGGTTCTGGCGAGACCCAGCCGCCGGGAGCTGAGCGCACTGCTGGGTGGGCTGAGGGGGTGGCGGAGGCTGGGGAGACGGTGAAGTTTGGGCGACCGCTGGCAGTGCTGCGATCGGGAGCCAGGCTCAAGCCCTGAGGTCGAGGGGTGGGCGGGCCGCCCTCCGGACCCCCATAGGCCCGCAGCAGCCGTCTCGCATCCTCCTGCCTGGTAAGGGGCTTCTGTCTGGGATGGGTGCGTCTCCCGCCGCCCCAGACGGGGCCTGCACAGCGCACCAGCTGCAAACCCGGTCAGGGCCGACGCGAGGCCCGGCTGCCTAAGAGAGGGAGAAGGAGGTCGATGTACTCTTGGGAGAGGAAGGGGGAGAAGCCTGGAGGAGGTGGGACATCTCCTTTCCCCCGCGCAGCTCTTCTCCTTCCCCCCTCCTCCCGTTCTTTTTTCACCTTCTGTTCTGGGGCCTTCTTTAATACTTGCAACCCTGTGGCCTAGAGGCAGGACTCGCCTTTTACGTGTGCACACAAATAATAAACATCCTAGCGGCGGGTACCACACCCTGGTTTTGAGTTAGGGAACCTGGGGAGCAGAAGGATGATGCGATTTAGTGGAAATAACCATTAGTGCTGGCTGGCTCTGCGCCACAGCTTGAATGCGATATAGTATTCCGTGTGAATGAACGTGACCGGTAGCTTCCAGCTTGTCCACGAGGATACAGCTACTGCAGAGAGCACTGATCGGCTTGTAGTATCCATCGATTTAGACTATGCTTTCCCAACACGTCTGTTGATTAAATAGACATGTCATTTTTACTAAGAACGGCACTCAGTAGTTTAATAACCTTTCATTAATATATTTCTGAATCAAATGACTGTCTCGACCTACAAAAGTAGGTGTAATGTAAACTATGATTACATTTTTTAAAAAAATCTCATGAAGATGCTCAGCGTGGATCAGCTTCTGAGTCAGCAGTATGAATTCTCCCTCAACTTAGTACCTAGGCCTTTTGGGATTTCTACATCTGTATCCTTAACTGCATTTGTACCAAACATACTGTTAAGATACAGTGAGATATTCAGTGCGAGTCTAAGCTTATATATGTTTTGAGGGAATTCTTATTTTGCAAGATTTCACATATTCTAATACCACTGGGTATAAATGAAAATATGCAATACATTGCCATAACAATACTTTGTGATCCCGACTCTAAAAAGAGAGAGAACTGAACGTAATAAAGGTTTTAGTTTTTTAATTTTAATATGATTTATAACCTCCCTATTTATTACTTTGTAATTTATAACCTTCCTGTTTAAAATAACTTAGTTTAGTGTTTTTCATTTTTCTTACCAAGGTAAAGGGTTTAAAGGTTTTAAAATGTCATCTATCAAGCACCTAGTCTATGCAGTTATTCGTTTCCTTCGGGAACAAAGTCAGATGGATGCGTATACTTCGGATGAACAAGAAAGTTTGGAAGGTAGGCACCTGTTCTTTGTGTTCCTTTGTGTTATAATTATAAATGAAGACTACTCAGAATATTTTGTTGATCCTTCAAGAAGAGAACTCTATTAGGTTATTATATTTCCACTCTGATACTTGTGTTTTAACTAACAACAGGACTGTTGTTCATTTATTGCACAATTATGTCTCAGAACTTGCTATTAATATTGTAGGAAATATTTTCTTCAGGGCGACTGCTATTAACTGTTAACAACTGCTAGTGTTACTCCCATTTAACTGATAAGTAAATGAAACTAGATAGGTTAAGTAACATAGTATCATTAGCTAATATATGGCAAAAGCTGAGATTTAAATAATGGTTTTTACTCACTCTGAAGATCTTGTCTTTTCTTCCTAATAGCAAAGCATCCAGTTTAGAATTGAAAGGTAAAAATACCTTAGTCATCATAAAAGCACTATGTAAATATCTAATAATTATATTGCTAGTATATACAACTTCCTATTTGGGGATTTGAAGTTAGAGAATTTCACCCTTGTTTTATGTGAGCTTTAAGTGTTAGATTCTGTAATCTGTAAAGTTGAGCATGACTTGGGTGATCACCTTTCCTTGAGTCCATCTTTTGTGCTCCGTGTTTGTGCATTTAAAAATTTAAATTCAGTATAACCATAGCAAGATAGATTTCTACAGATGGGCTTGTGGAGGTTCAAGGAAGCTAGTTTCTTGTGGACTAAAGACTTAATTATTACAAGGAGATAGTGCATTTGGGAGAATTTAATAAATAATGGTACAATTTAAATTTTTCTATTTTAAAGCCATTTCTCCTATAAAGGGTAAATATGTATTAATTTCAACAAGCACTTCCCTTGTGAATATGCTTTTTAGGAGATGGGGATGAAAATTGGACATTTGCTCTAAATCTGTTTATAGTCTGGTGAGATGGTGTCTGTCCAGGTGACAATGAGAGGAGCAGGTGATACACAATTGGAGTACATTGTAATCAGTCCATTTAATCAGAGTCTTTTGGTCTTCCTTGGTGGTGAGACTGCGAAGACAAATGTGACTGGTTGTCTAAAGAAAATGTTGATTTTGATTTTCTGTAGCAAACAGATAAAGCCCATCATTGAATAAAAGCTGTTTCTTTTCTAATAAAAGCCAGTATAGTACTTTTAAGGGCTAGATAGAAAATTGAGTTATTTTTTTTAAAAACCAAGATGTTATATCCTATTTTTAGTATGGTATTTAGCCAAAAACATGTGCCTTCAGCTGGCTGTTATATATGGCAGTCAGAAGTGGTGCCAATTGTTTTTGACCGACCCCTATTTTTGACTCTGAGTCTAATTTAATTGAAGATGAAATCATGTGGAGATGTCTGCCCACCTTCTAGAGATTTAAAAAGCCCTCAGATAGGAGCCTAAGTTCTAAGCCCAGATTTACCACGATAGAAGCTTGCGTATCATTAGCTTTGAACCTTGTCATCAGATTTTCTCACCCAGTCCTCCTAATTGTTATAATCTACTGATACCTGCTTCATGTTTTGACTTTTGAGATCTGTGCACTGTCACTGTCTCCAGTATTCCTGTTTAAATTCTTGGCAGCTTCAATCTACTCATAGATGATTCTTCCAGTTCTCTCAGTACTCAGTTATTACTGTCTTCACAGCAATGAGAGCCTATTTTTTGTGGTCCAATATTTTTAGTATAAGAACAACTGCTTAGTAGGAATATAAAGGGAGAAAATAAGGGATGGGTAAACAGTGGATTATTTTCTGTAAGTTACTAACTTTTGTAGTTGGAAACAATCAGTTCCCTTTATAAGGAGAATTGTTTTACAGATAGTCAAAGTAATAGTGTATCTTTTATGACAGAGGTAATTTTCTCAGGACCACAATGAATATATAATGTATCTTTTGAAAGTCACACACAAAATGTGACTGTATTCCAAACTGTCTGGAACTACAATGGACGTTTGGGCTGCATTCTCATTTTGTAGACCCATGAGAGATGTCACTTTCAAATGAGAGCACTGTCTGGATAAGAATCACTTCCATTCCCTTCTAGGTACTTGTAGAGAGGACAAGCTATACTTTCTTCACTGTTATTGCCCTAACTCAGACTCATATTTAGATAATTTAAGTAGGAAGCCACTGATTTTCTGCTTCTATTTTCTCCCTCAGCCTCCATCTCTAATCAATTCTCGGTTATTTCTATCAGTCTTTTAGTTCTAAACATATATATATATATATATATATATATATGTATATATGTGTGTGTGTGTGTGTGTGTATTATTCTACTTACTAAACTCTGGAATGGCTCTTTGGTGACCTAAGTCATGGAGCCCAAATCCTTAAAAATGCTACTTATTCCACCTCAAGTCTATCTTAGTCATACCAGTTTTCTCATCAGACACCAAGTACAGACGAGTCACCTGTCACCACTTAGTATACTTTTTATTTTACTTTTGTGTATGTCTCTTTCCTATTAAATACAAGTTTCAGCATTCAGATAGTGATTTTTGTCTGTTAGGGTAACTACTGTACCTTTACTGCCTGAGAACAGCGCCTTATACATAGTAGCTGTGTGGTAAATATGGATGCATGAATGAATTCCTTAATCCCACCTATCTTCGCATAATTATACCAGGATTAATATTTAGTTCTTCCTATGTGCTAGAATTTAAGTTTCTCTTATATTTTAAATCAAGTTGAAATTCTATTTCTCACATTAAAAAAAGACTAAAAAATTTTTTGTTTAGGTCATTAAGACATTGTAGTTAATCAGATATTGGTAGTAGGGAGTAAGTTGTTAGTGATTTGCTTCAATGAAAATATGATGTAATGTATATACTGAGAAATTATATTCTAAGTACCATTTTTCTTTAAGTGAGGAATAGGAAATCAAGTTATCTTCTCTCAATAGCTGATCTATAAACAGAAGTCTCTATACAGCTGAACCAGTTAGTTTTCCTTCTGTTCTATCAGCATAAATGCTGAATTTCCACAGATTGCAATCCTACCAGAAAAAAAGGATGTTTCTTTTTTTAGGCTGCTAATTTTTTTTTCACTATTAAAATTTATTTCAAGTTGCAATTCAGTGCTTGGAGACAGTGTTCAAAATCAGCCCAGAAGATACACACCTAGCAGTGTCACAGCCTTTGACAGAAATGTTCACAAGTTCCTTCTGTAAGGTAAGCTGTCATTGTTTTCTCATTCATATCTGATTTAATTATAATTACAATATTATGTTGGATTGTTAATATGTGAGGGACTATACCTATTAATAACTCATTTCTTTTTGGGTATAAGATAGATGGTGAACCCACGTGGACACATTTGGGATCTAAAATGTAACTCCTTTAAATGTAGTTTAGATTTTCCTGTTAGTAGTTATGATTGTCCTTTCACCATCGATGTGTCTTAGTCAACTTTTTAAGTCTTTTATAGTATTGGAGTATTTTTAAATTTCTGACATCTATTTGACATTCCCCTAAAATATGGAATACGTGTTTTAAAAAAAGTGTTAACATCAAGAAGGCAACCATGCAAAAATAGATTCATCAGGAATTGAGTCATCATTCTGAAGCAGATTTCATCAAATGTTGCCATTGATGGGACTCTTTAAATGAGGGGAAGGTTTAGGCTCAAGATGCAAGCTTGGACTGAAACATGTTTTCTGATCTCTGCTCCTGTATAGAAATACTATTTATTAGAAAAACATTTTCTAAAAATAAGAACAACACTCATCTATTTTATTGGTGATTTTGAACTTGAGTTATTTTTGTATAATTAGGAAAGTATATTTCTGATGTTAATCAATTTTACTGGAAGTTTAATGAAAAAAGGTAGTGGTGGATATTTTTAAAATATAGTAAATAGTGGTGACAAATTATGCTTTCTTGAAAATTGTACACTTATTTCTGAACTAAGCATCAAGTTTAAATGCAACATATCTTAGGGCCTCCCTGGTGGTGCAAAGGGTTAAGTCTCAGCACTATGAAGCTATCTGCAGCATGAGTTAGATCCCTGGCAAGGGAGCTAACCCACATGATGCAGCAGACCTCTCCTGTCTCGCCTGCCCCCTCAGCAGTATATTTCAGTCCATCTGCCTATTCTGCTCCCCACTCTGTCTCTGATGAATCCTCTCACACCCCTCACCTCTGGCCTACACCCCAGCTCTTTTATGCATAAATAAATAAAATAAAGCTTTAAAAAAATAAAAGCAACACAATTTAAAAAGAGTCTCTTGGGGTCTCCCAGGAAGCACAGTGGGTTAAGTGCAGCCCTGTGAAGCTGTCCGCAGCCTCTGCAGTGCAGGGTCGATTCCCGGCCGGCCAGGGAGATTCCCCCATGGAGCGGTAGACCTCTTCTGACACACCCACTACTCTCCTCAGCAATGCTTTCAGACTGTCTGCCTGTTCTGTCCTCTGCTCTGTCTCTGGTGAATCCTCTCACCCTCCCATGTCTCTGGCCTGTACCCCAGCTATTGTATAAATAAAAAATAAATCTTTAAAAAAAAATAAATAAAAAGGGTCTCTTAAAGACATAAAATACATTGTGTTCCCAGTGTCACTTAGGGTATTTCTGAGTTTCTATTTAATTTTCATCAGTATCTTTAATTTGAATCTTACTAATATGAAAGAGGTTTGAGGATGATAGTATGTGCAAAAAATAGGATTTTATATGTTTTTTAATCTTATGGTAAAATATATGTTCAAGGTTTAAAAAAATTTGGAATATGGAAAGATATAAAGAAGAGACAGAAATTTTTACCTCCAAATATTACTATTGTTAGTCTTTCAATGTGAACCTTTCCTTATTTTTTTTAACCTCTGTGTTTGTGTGCACATATTTAAATATTAGGATCATATAATAAGTGCTTTTATTGGTTAGCTTTGATTTTAACTTTGTGGTTATCTCTTTGAATATTAACATTTTATTAAAATTTTTTCACTAATAATAAACAATTACAAAGATTAGATAAAAAAGATATGGTCTGTCCACACTGTGGAATACTATTCAGCCATAAGGAAAAGTGAAAAGCTGCCATTTACAGCAAAAAGGAAGGAATTTGAGGGAATTATGTGTAGTAAAGCAAGTCAGAGTGACAAACACACATATTGGATATTCACATAACAGATGATTCAACCAAGTAAAATACTTATAAAAACTGGTGGACATTAATAAAATGAAATGAGATTTCTGAGATTAAGGGAGAGTGGATGGAGGAAAGGCCAAGGACGTGTGGTAGGGAAAATTTTTTTAAAGTGTAAAAAAAGTATATTGGTTAGTAAAAAAAGTATATAAACAATTCCTTGAACATATTCTATTCATATTCTTTGCTATTGGTTGTTCATGAAGTGTAATTGTTGGGTATAGGGAAAGTGAGTAAAAAATAGTGTTCACAGTTGCTTATTATCCTCTAGAAAAATTCCATAGTTATTTTTCTAATAAAAGTATGTGAAAGGACTTTTTCCTATTTCTAACACTATTAGGTGTTAAGATTTTATGACGGAGAATTACAGATGATTTACTATAGTGTAATTCATTATTTACTTACAGTTTTCTGGAATGACTCTATGTAGCTAAATAGAAAGACATTGATTTTTACTTAATTTCAGAATGAGATTCTGCCACTCTCAAACTCAGTGCCTGAAGATGTGGGAAAAGCTGACCAACTAAAAGATGAAGGTGAGTATTTCATAGGAAAAATGACTTGCTCAGTAAAGCTTTCTGAAACTCTGGAGAAAATAACTGTCAGTTGCTAAGATTATGGTTTACACTGCCAAGACTGGATTGTCATAAGTCCATATGACACTTATTGCTGCAGACAGGACAGCCGATGAAGTTCTTTGCCATTAATGAAGACTCAGAGTCTAAATGAATTTGCAATGGGGGGAGGCTGGGGAGAGTGCCATCAAAAGCAGCTCTGCCTTTCACTCTCCCAGCCTAAGCTTTTATTAAAGATATGAACAAAGGAATAAGAAAATAGCACACAATTGTATTTTTGCTTATACAGATTAATAAATTACTGCTGAAAACAAGTTTTCCTGGTTAGTAGGGAACATGCGCAGAAGCCAGCATGTCCTCAGAGAACAGGAGTCAATTCTGGGAAGAAGTTCTGTTTGCAGAACTTCTAACATCCTGGAAATCCGTATGCAGAATAAACAGGTATTCTCCAAAACTCTAGCTCCCTTTAGGGCAGCAGGCTCCCAACAACTTGGGAAATAGAAATGAAGGTAATAGGGAAGAAGCCTGGCAATACAGAGTGGTTTGTGAGCAGTATACATATGACTTGTTTCAAAAGAAGCAGACCTGTTTTGAGTAAAACTTGCCAAACAGTATTTACAGTATGATTGTTGGTAATTTATGTGCTGTGTGTATGCTAGGATTCCAAATTCTTCTTTATGCCTACTCAAAGAGAAGAAAATAACTTCCAATATTATTTTAATTTTTGTGTATTTGAGTTTTTTTGAAAGTTGTTTGTGCATCTCCATGGCACTTATGTGTTTATTAGCTAGCAAATTTTCTAATAGTGGCTGTTGACGCATTCTTGGTTTTAATCAGTAAGTCACTGTTAAGGATCTGTGTTAACTTTCCTCATCATGTAAGTTATGTTAACCTATAGAGGAAAGCCAGGTCATGCCTATAAGATTAATATGTTATAAAACAGAGTCCTGATCTTTAGCAGTGAATGAGAGCCAACAAATTCCCTGTCCTATGGGAAGAAATTTATTTAGGGAATATGTCATGTTCAGAAGCTATATAAAAAATGGTTCAGAGCCATTTTCTGGTCCATTCCTTTGTTCATAGCCTAAAGAAGGTAACTGAGTTAAAAAAAAAAAAACAAAACAGTTGGTGTCTAAAAGGATAGACATGGAAAAGAATATACTTTTCCTATTATCTTGCCTGTATTAGGTCTATTAGGTCTATAATAGACCTAAATGATATATATCATCGTTTTTAATGGGTGTATAGTATTCCATGGTACTATTAGGTAGCTAGTACCTTTCTAGAAGGTTGTTTTAAAACATTTTTGTGTGCTTTCCTTCTGAAGAGCTATAGTAAGATCAGAAGAACAAGTAAGGTTCATTGTTGTCATTCCCTGACATGTCACAGAAGTATATGCAAACCTCAGAAGGTTGTCTTGAGAATTAAGAAACAATTTTATCGGCAAGTATCATGTAACTATAAACTGCTATCCAATGGTTTATTACATTTATCTTTACAAATTACTTCAAGGTGTCTTGAATTTTTGCATATAGAGTATTTTTTGGTGATATTTTTATCATTAATATATGTAAATATATATACATACATCTGGCATGTATGTATGTATATATGTTACAGTATCAATACATTTGAGGAAAAAAATACAACAGATTTTTAAAAAGTAGTAATAGTAAAATAATATCACCCATGACAAAAAGGCCCGACAGCAACAACAAAATCCCAATAACCCAGAATATTTAAATATTTTACATACAGAAAGCCATTTTTTTTAGTACCTGAGCTAATGTAGTTAATTTCTTGCTTAATCATAAAAATTATGTAATAATCCTGTTAACTACATTAAAGGCTTTATATTGATTCCTTTTTTGGAAGTCTAATTATTTTGGGGTCTAAATTAATTATTTTTCCATTAAACAACAACTTTATTGAGATACAATTCATGTACCATGCTATTTGCTCCTTCTAGGTAATTGGTTCTAGTATATTCATGGAGTTGTGCCACAATTACAGAATGTTTTTAATCACTTCCCATAAAAGCCTGTGCCCATTAAGAGTCACTCTATTCATTTCTGATTTTTAACTTGCAGTAATTTTTGTATGATTTTAGATGCTCTTACCTACCTTCCTTTCCTTAAGCTTTCTGTTCTGTTCCCTGCAAATTTACAGCTTCCACGTCTTCCTATTAAGTAGCTAATGTATATTAAAAAACAAAGCTGTGATATAAGTCCTTCTTCCTAATCCTAGTGCTTAAAAAAATTCAATTTTGGGACATTGGTTTGTTTTTTTTTAAGTGAGCAGGATATTTTTTACATTTAATGGAATACAGAGGATAGTCAAGGAAATTCCTTATCTACTCCTAATCAGTTGTTAACCTAGCTAAATTATTGCCAGATGTATTTGCAGATATGTTTCCTAACAATCAGTACCCTGTGGACTAGCCAATGGTATCTGAAATTCTGTATCTTTAGAAATTAACACCCAATAATCCCTTTTAAAAAAAAATCTCTATAAGGTATAGCACATAATATATTACCTACCAGTAATATAGTGGCATGCTTATTTTTGCCAGCTTACTTGCATAGCAGAATTCTGAGGACTTGGTTATTTAGCAGGTATAGATTTTGACAGGGGAGGAGTGGAAGACTTGATGCAGATTGAGTTGGTGACTGAGGAGGGTATTATGTCTGGAATGGGGTGGGGCAGCTCTGAAAGGAGAGAGAAGTTAAGGAAGATAAGATTAGATTTTGTCCTGAGATAATCATAAATGTTACATTTACTTATTAAAACCTGGATTTTATAAGGTATACAAACATTAAAAAAAGTCTCAGCATTGTTAAAAATCACTGTTAAAAATCATTGTTAAAAATCATTGTTAAAAACACACTGAAGGCTAATGGAGATGAATTCTATAGTGCAATATAAAATTTATCTCCAGTGTTGACTGAAAATCATGCTACTGACCTTCATATTATTATAGTTTCTGTGATTAAAACGTATCTTTCAAACTTTGTATTTTTTTAATATTGTATTACTGTACCTATTGATTATTTTAGGCAATAACCACATGAAAGAAGAAAATTATGCTGCTGCAGTGGATTGTTACACACAGGCAATAGAATTGGATCCAAATAATGCAGTTTATTATTGCAACAGGTAAGCCTACATTATTGTGGCAGGTTTACAGGGAGAACTGTAAAGTTTATTTATAAAATTTTGAAAGTTCTATGAGTATAAAGAAGAAAAGAATTCATAAACTTGTCACTTAGCAGCAACCACTGTTACCAACCTTTTAGTACATTTTGTTTGATCAAAGTGTAATCAATTTTATACTCATTTTTACCCACTAGGCATATCATAAACATGTCCTTATTTTGTATATATTTTTAATTTAATTGAGATATAATCCACCTAAAATTATATTAGCTTCAGGTACACAATATAATGATTTGATGTTTGTATATATTGTGGCATGATCTAGCCCCAAACATAGAAGATTTTTGTTTCTTGAGAACATGTCCCTATTTTATTGAAGTCCTTCATAAACATTATTTAAATGGATGCAAATTGGTCTGTTATTATCTGTTAATCATTTTTATATTGTCAGGTCTATCATTGTGGCTGGCAAATAAGGACTCAGTGTTATTTTTTAATAAATGGATAGAGGTTCCTTCATTTTACTTATTCACCTACTGATAGACATTGAAGTTGTCTTTTTTTTCTTTCAATAAAAAAACTGGGGTAAACATCTTTGTTTCTAAAATTACTTTCTGGACTTAAGATTTCCTAGACTTTGGATTTATCCCTGTAAATGCCTTCAGTAGATCTAGCAATATAAATTGTGGATGCAGATTGTAAAATTGTTCCAGCCTCTTTGAAAATATTTTGAAGTTTAATTCTCTCCTCTAGAAGTATATTAGTGTATCTGTTTTTACCACACTTTTCTCAATACTAAGTACTTGAATTATTACTTATTATTGTAAATTCAGTATTCTTATTTTAGTATTGATTGTTCCAATTTATGTTTAATTACTGTTGAAGCTGGACATTTTTCAAATCTAGAAATGTTAATTTCTACATTATTGCATAACCTGCTACTTGGCTTCTCAGCTCTTCTGTCAATTATGTGATTAATTTTTTGCATTAAGTTATTCTGTTTTAAACATTATGGTTCCATTAGAAGTTCATGCAATTATGGAAATGTTCTATCTGTAGTGTCTAATACAGTAGTTACAGTGACTACTAAGCTCTTGAAATGTGGCTAGTCAATCATGGAAACTTAATGTTTAAGATCAGCTCAAATTGAAACTCACTTGTGGCTACTATATTGGACAGCATAACTCTATATTAAAGATACAACCCCTTTTTCCTAATTGCACAGCTTTCTGTTTGCCTTTTAATGTTGTTCACATGTATACATTTTTTTTTTAAAGATTTCTTTATTTATGCATACAAGAGCTGGGGTACAGGCCAGAGGTATGGGGGGGTGAGAGGATTCACCAGACATAGAGTGGGGAACAGAACAAGCAGACTGACTGAAGTACACTGCTGAGGGGAGCAGCGGGCAAGTCAGGAGAGGTCTGCTGTGCCATGTGGGTTGCTCCCTGGCTGGCCAGGGGATCGAACTCTTGCTGTAGAGGTTGCGGACAGCTTCATAGGTTGCGTCTTAACCCCTTGCACCACCAGGGAGGCCCCTGTATAAATTTTAAATGCTTGCTTTTCTCCCCAGTTACAGACATGACAACTTACTTCTATTTTCTTATTTTTCCATGTATATTCTACTTTGGTGATGGTATGACTATTTCAATCAATCTGAAACTTTTTATGACAGTCTTATGCAAATTACCTCTTATGTAATAAATTCTTAGGTTTGAAAGAGATCTTTAAGTTATCTTGATCAAATCTTGTATTGAATTTTTCTTATATTTAGGGTATTCAATTTTGTAAACCCTCTGGGAGAATGCCATTTCCCCTTACCTTTTCTTTAGTTGATATTTCTATTTAAAAAGTCACCTTTATATTGACACAGAATTTGTTTTCCTCTAGCTTCTATAAGTTGGCTTTTTAATTTTATATTTAAGGGCAACTACAGAATTAGTATGATTCTTTGTCATGACAGTATCTTAACATTTTGTGGGTGGCTACTATGTTCATTTGAGTTCTTTTTTTGCTGTTAAATGTTCCCAGCTTTTCAGTTGTACCTCAGATAGTACAGCTTTAAGACCTGCACTTTTATTCTAAAATCATTCCAATTTTCCTATATCTATTACTGTGTAATTCCTAGAAATTAGCACTTTATCTGACATCTAGCATTTAGCACTAGAATCTGGCATCAATCTGACAAGAATAGTCTGGTAAGGCTCTCATCTATCTACTTCTAGACATTAGCATCTTGCACATTATTTGTTAAATTCATTTTCCATTTTTGGTCACATAAAGACTTTCCTTTTCACACCTTTTCTCTATTCTATCGGTCATATAGTCATTTGACAGGTTCTTGCCAAATCCTTATTCTGTACGAGTATTGTCATTGGAGGTAATGCTGGTTGTCTAGACTCAAATACAGGATCTTATATTTTATCTCATTAGAATTTTATCTTATTAGTTTCTTATTACATGGCCCTTAATCTTTTTGGACATTTTATAATGTTTCCTTCTCCTAGTTTCATGTCATCACAAACTGGAGAAGAATACCATATATTACATTATGTCAGTTACAAAGTCAATTATTGAAGCAAGAATGGGAAAGTGGTTAATAGGAGTTCCAACCTAGGATCTTCGGATTCTAATTTCTGCTCTGCCATTGATAACCTGTGTGACCTTGAGCAAGTTACCTAACATATCTATGCCTTAGTTTCCCATTGGTAAAAGGTGAATAATAGCATTTACCCATAAGATTGTTGTAAAACTCATATAATTAATACATGTAAAGTGCTGAAAAGTGTCTAATAAATGGTGTACACAACAGTAGCCATCAGCATCATTGTTTAAGCAGTCTGGTTTGGTGTTCCACCTCTGTATGCACCATGTAGCCATTAAATTCCCTCTTACTAGTTATGTGCTTTGGGCAGCCACTTACACCCTTTCCTCGCTTGTAAAATAGAGATACTTACCTAACCATTTCATAGAGTAGTTGTATACAAAGCCTAGCATACAAAGTCTTAGGCTTTCAGTATTTGTTTCTTTCAAAATTTAAGATTTTTTATAATTAGAGCATCAGTTTTTGCTATAATTTATTTATGCATGATGCACCACTTGGGAAATGTAAGGGACAAGTTGAACAGTAATTCTGTTAGTGTTTGGACCTGGGGGTTTGGGCACTACTATGGGGACTGAGCTATCTGCTATCAGGATTGTGTGAAGGGGTAGTAAATGGCTTCATTATGTTGTCAGGACCTAATCATTCCAGGAGCTTTGTTAAAAAGGTAATCTGAAAGGAATTAAATGGTCCTTAATTGTGTTGAGATTATATGCTAAATAGATGGGCTATATTGTTATCCTTAATTAGTAGCCAAATTTAGGCACATAGGTAAGTGTTAGTTTTCATTTTAGCCTTGCTGGATGGATGGCCTAATATTACTAGTAAAGTCATCAATTAACAGCATAGTACTCTGAGTAGCTGTAAACAGCAATCACTCCGTGTGCTTCTCTACAGTTCCCAATAGCCTACTGTTTTCAGTTTGTGCAAATAAGAAAGGCACTAAGTAGGTAGATCAGTTGCATGATTCATATATTTGTTTTCTATAGCAAGCAAACAGTGAAAGGCAGCCTGCATATTTTCTCTGCTTTTGTTTGAGTTTTTTTTTTTTTTTCATTTTATTAGACCTTAGACAATTTGATTTAGATATTCACTCTTCTCTTTCTCTCAGGGCTGCTGCTCAAAGTAAATTAAGTCACTACACAGATGCAATAAAGGATTGTGAAAAAGCAATAGCAATCGATTCAAAGTACAGCAAGGCCTATGGGCGAATGGGGTAAGTTCTGCGAGAATGTGCAAAGTACTTTTAGATGTGCTATTTTTAATGGCTTGGTCTTGAATTTCCTGCTTAAGATTGTATCCTCTGAACTAATAAGATAAATATGGCATTAAGGGAGGAAATAATTGTAGTGTTTGACTTGGGAGAGAGATGATTCGTTGTGTAATGAATGGTTGGTGGAGAAAATCATAGACCTGTACTGAATAGACTCACTTCATGTTCCAGATGACAAATTTCAAATGAGCACTCAATATTGAGCCAGAGTGAGCTTTCCAAAGCATAAATCATGTCACTTCATTTCCACCAGAATAACATCCTAACTCCAAACCCATGATCCTATAGGATGTGGCATGATCCTTCCCGATATTGTCTCTTTCAATACTTTGTTCTTCATGTTCCCTCTTCATCAGCCTCTGTCCTGTTCTGTAAGCATACTAAACTTCTATGTTCTTGGGGCCCCTGTTAAGCTGCTTTTATTTAGAATGCTTCTGTCCTGATTTTCATGACTTTCTCTAGATTCAGCTCTTTTTAATGTGAGCAGCAACCTTATTTATTCTCTTTAATATTATTTTTTTATTGCATGTTTATCACGTCTTTCCCAGGTAGAATGAAAAATTTTTTTTAAAGATTTGTTTATTTATTTTATACAAAAACTGGGGTATAGGCCAGATGCGCGTGAGGGTGAGAGGATTTATCAGAGACAGAGCGGGGAACAGAACAGGCAGACTGACGAAATACACTGCTGAGGGGAGCAGCAGGCGAGGCAAGAGAGGTCTGCTGTGCCATGTGGGACCCTCGCCGGCCGGCCAGGATCGAACCCATGCTGCGGAGGCTGCGGACAGCTTCATAGCGTGGCGCTCAACTGCCTGTGCCACCAGGGGAGGCCCTTTATAAATGAGGACTTTACATTTCTCATTATAGAATCTAAAATAGTATCTGACACACCACTGAGTGTTATTAATAACTGTGTGTTGAATAGTTGAGAACTCTAATGAAGTTTCTCTCATGGGTGACATACAGAATCTTGGAATTAGAAAAAATTCTAATGCTACTCCTGTAAACCATAGTACAACAAATAATTTACCTATAACCTGGATTAGAACTGAATACCAAGATAGATGTTTGTCTACATTTGTGATGTCCTAATGTTTTTTAATCATGTATCTTATACTTTTAAATTCTCTGCAGGCTGGCCCTCACTGCCATGAATAAATTTGAAGAAGCAGTTACAAGTTATCAAAAGGCATTAGATCTTGATCCTGAAAATGATTCTTATAAATCCAATCTGAAAATAGCAGAACAAAAATTAAGAGAGGTATCTAGTCCTGTAAGTTTTTAATGCCAAATGAATGATTTTTTTGGTCATTCTCAATTATTGTAATTAACTTATAGTGGTAGAATGATTCTCTTATTTTTTTTTTACAGATAGGAACTGGATTGAGCTTTGACATGGCTAGCTTAATAAACAATCCAGCATTCATTAGTATGGTGAGTATATTTCCTTTTCACTTCTGCAGCTGTTTCTGATAGAGCTATATAGTTACAAAACTTGAGAAACAAGTTTTGAGAAACAAGCTTTGTGGTGGTGGCTGCAATAGAGTTAGATATGATGTCACACTGACGTTCTTAAACCACTTGTATTTCTTTGTGGGAAAGCATTGGCTTTCCCACAAAGAAATACAAGTTCATTCATTCAATACAAGTTCTTCATTCATTCTTCATTCATCCTGAATGAAGTTTATTCCTGAATGAACTTCAGGAAGCCCATGGATTCCTTGAAATTATATATAGATATATGTATACATGCGGCTATATTAATGTTTTTAGGGAAAGAACCGTATTCTTCATCAGATTGGCAAAAGGGTCTGTGAATTTACAGAGGGTTAAAAATTACATAAAAGTGGTTACAGGAAGATATCTAATGATTCAGGTCTGGTGTTTTGTTTTTGTGGTTCCCTAAGCTCTTTTTTCAGCATTGTCTGTTTCTACTATAAGAATTTATTTGAGCTTTCAATATAATTTTCATACATATGTATGCCATTCTTCAAATGAACAAAATCACTTATGGTCCTTTTTGAAAACATACGTTCTTTGGTCCAGTATGTGGAACTCTAGTGAGTGGAGGAGGTCACCTGGGTATATAAAGTTCTTGGGTGATTGTACTTATGGCTGAGAACCATTCTACCACAAGTTATACTCTTGGAAGGCAGCCCCTTCAAAAAATATGTCTTGCAGTCACTAAATTTCAGTTGAGTTGAAATGCAGAGATGAGTTGTTGCCACTGAGCTAAATAAGTTTTTGAACAATTAGGTTTGTAGTAACTAGGAGTTTAAAATTAGTAGTCTAAATCTTTGTGGATGTTAATTTTTAAAAATTTATAATTATTTCATTGTTATTGAAATGCCATTGTTCCAAATCCTTGCCAGTGTTTTGACAGTACAGGATTTCTCCCCTCAGGTGTAGTTACCATTGCACTCCTACCACTGAAGCATGTAGTCCTCCAACAAAGTCCATTGAAGGTTCTTCCTCGCCTCCCCCATTCTCATTCCCCCTCTACTACTTCCACTGTGAAAGTTGCATCTTTCAAGGGTTGCTTTTAAAGTTTGTTTTTGTCTGATCTTTTGTTTGGTTTTTCTGTATTCTACCTGTAAGTGACTAGATGGTAATATTTGAATCACTGACACTAAATAAGGTATTGGCAAAACTACCACTTGCTTTTATTACCAGAAAGGTAATTGTTTCATTTGCAAATGTAATCCAGTAACTGTCTTTTATTCTCACTTAGTATTGGTGCCTCTGAGCCAATCAAATTTAAGTTGGTCTGCCCAGCTGTACAGCAAAAATTTATCTCTTTGTAGATTTTATGGTATTTTTGAACATATGCTATTATAATGTTAAATTGGATTTGTAAGTTTTATATTTGGCTTATGCCTCAAGATACTGTGTACTGAAATAAGGTCTGAGACTACTATGTAGGAACTGCAAAAAGGTGAAGGTTAAAATTATGTTTTGTGATTCTTAGAAAGGATCAGGTTGACAGAGGTTGAAAGATTTTTGGAACATGCTATTGGAGTTAGAGCCTTGCTCCATGTATAAGGGAAGTAAGGGGGCTAGACCTCATCTCAAGTCCACTGGGAAAAGGCTTTTCTGGGCCACTCAGAGAGCTTTCTATGAAAGATGGTCATCAGTCTGGCAGACAATAGACTGGTGTCTGACTTGCCAACTGGAGAAGCAAGTAACATAATTAACTTGTGGTCTGGGAAGTCCCGAAGACAGGTGGAGTATAGGTGTGTTTCCTGTGGGCCAGAGAGAGCCACACACATGCTTGCAAGACAGTTCCAGACTTCAGTTTGCCCAAGAGGCACTCCTGGAGGGTGACAGGATGACACGGTGACAGGATCCCAACACTGAGAGTCCTGAAAGGAGCATTACTAAGAACCTGGGACCAAAGGGAAAGTGATAGCATACATCCAGGAGAAAATTAAATTACCCTTTTCAGAAAGTAGAGGAGAAATCCCCAAAGTGGGGGGGTAGTAAGAAGTATCTGAAGAACTTCAGAAAGTGCCCCATGAGAGAACCTAAGTAGTTTTAAAAACGTACAAACCCAAGAGCACGGGTATAAAGCCAATGATACTACTAGTAATTAAATAAGAATTTTCCTGCTCGTGAGCCTCCCTGGTGGCCTAGGGGTTAAGTATCATGCTATCACCCTATGCCCTGAGTTCGATCCCCAACCAGGGAGCTAACCTGCATATGGCGCTGCCCCAGACCTCTCCTGTCTCACTTGCTGCTCCCCTTAGCACTGTATTTCAGTAGAAATACACTACAGTATTTCTGCCTGTTCTCCCCACTCTGTCTCTGGGGAATCCTCTCACCCCCTGCAACTCTGGTCTACATCCCAGTTCTTCTATGTATAAATAAAGTCTTTAAAAAAATAATTTTTCTGCTCTCTTTATTCTCTTTCTTCACTTAACTCTGATCATGGAGAACCTGAACTCTTGGTCAGCAAGCTGGAGGAAGAGAAGTAGAAGAAACACTATGGCAAAAAGCATAGCTAACAGTACCCGTGCTATAGTGCAACTGGCTAACAGTAGCAGGCCCATGCTGGGGAAGAAGTTTTACCCGTAAATGCAATTTTTTTTTTGTAATTACACCAAGCAAGTAATTAAACTAGGGGTCATTTTCTAACTTACAGTACCTGGAGGATTGCTTACTTCAAAGTGATCAGAAAAGCTGTATGATATATATTTCTTCGAGGTCCTAGAATCCATAGCATTAGTGTGTTAGCTCAGAGGCATCAATTCTAACCTACACTTGAGGAGAACTATATTTCTGGTCATAAAAGCAAGTGGTGGCTTTTCCGAACAGTTTATTTTGGGTCAGTGAATCAAAAATTAGCTTACTGCCTACAAAGATTTAGATTAAATATGGTTTACATGAGTATTGTTGACACTACCAATTTAAGGCAAAAAAAGAGTTATGCTTTCAAAATAGAAAGTTTTAAAAAGTGTATGTGTATAATTATAATTTCCCTCCTACTGAAGCATTGAAGGATTGAGACAACTTGGAGTGAGGTCACATCTCTTAGAGATGTGAAGCAGACCCTCTCAAGTATAGATTCTTTATACTTTTGAAGTGTCTTTTTCTTCTTTTGGCTTTATGGCTCTGATCAATAGTAGGAACTGCTGTCCATATCCTTAGTTTATAATCATTTTATCCTTGCAATGTATTTTTTTTTTTTTATAGAGGCATGCTTTATTTGTTTGCTGGTTTGTTTGTTTGTTTTGTTTATACATGCACTGGGTACAGTCAGAAGCGCGGGAGGGTGAGAGAATTCACCCGAGCCAGAGCGGGGAGCAGAGCAGGCAGAAGGACCGAAGTACACTGCTGAGGGGAGCAGCGGGCGGCAGGAGAGGTCTTCGCGCCATGTGGGACCCTCCTCCGGTGGCCGGGGAGCAGCCGGGGATCGAACCGGCGCCGCAGAGGCCGCGGGCAGCTTCGCAACCCAGCGCTCAACCGCTGCGCCACCGGGGAGGCCCTTGCAATGTATTTTTAATGCCACTTTTTCCTAGCACTTCCTTTTCTTACATTTCCATTTACTTTGTTTAGCACACTGACACTCTACAAAATACATGTACAAAATACAACGTACTGACATGGTTTAGCCATTGTTCCTCTACTTTTTGATAAAATTCTTTGTCAAAAATCCCTGAATTGTAACTCTTTAATGGGAGATGCCATTTTTTTCAATTCCAGGCAGCAAGTTTAATGCAGAATCCTCAAGTTCAACAGCTGTAAGTATACAGAAAAGCTTATTACATTTCTTCTCCACTTAACCAAAATGATAAAACTACCCTGAATGCTGGTCATTAAGTATTTAAAGTCACATACATTTGGCTTAACCTCCTACACAGTATGGGTTTATTTATTTATTTATTTATTTGTGGGACCCTAGCCGGCGACGGCCGGGGAACGAACCAGCACTGCAGAGGCTGCAGGCAGCCTCGCAGCCCAGTGCTCAACCGCTGCGCCACCAGGGGAAGCCCTAAAAATTTTTTTTTTTAAAGATTTTATTTATACAAGCACTGGGAAAGCGTGGGAGGGTGAGAGAATTCACCAGAGGCAGAGCGGAGAGCAGAGCAGAGCAGAGCAGAGCAGGCAGACTGACGAAGTACACTGCTGACGGGAGCAGCCAGCGGGTGGCAGGAGAGGTCTGCGCGCCATGTGGGACCCTCGCCCTGTGGCAGGGGATTGAACCGATGTTGCAGAAGCTGTGGGCAGTTTAGCAACCCAGCGCTCAACCTCTGCGCCACTGGGGAGGCCCCAGTGTGGGTATATTTAACTGGCTTTTCCATTGGCTGTTATATGCTAATAATATATGCCAATCCAGTGATGTATCTCTTGCATACTCTAGAATGTCCGGAATGATGACAAATGCCATTGGGGGACCTGCTGCTGGAGTTGGGGGCCTAACTGACCTGTCTAGCCTCATCCAAGCGTAAGTGTGTACTTAAACAGAAACAGTGAAAAAGTGTTTCTCCAAGGTGAGGGAAGCAGGGCTTTCTTTCAAAATTTTTATTGTTTACTGTTACTATCAGTAACCTCATTAGTTATTAAATCTAAAAGAAGTTAATAATTGGAAGAACTTTTCAGACTGAAAGGTAAAGGATCTCAAAGATCTGGACTGTCTTGCCAGCTCTGTACCTAAAGAAAAGCAATCACATATGCATTGTTTTTATTTTTGGGGCAGTACCATCTCAGTAATGCAATTAATAGAAAATGAATAGGTATTTACATCTTTATTCAATAGATAGAGAATCTGAGAGAAAGTTTAGTGACTTACTGAGGTTTCAGAGCATACATTGAAGAGCTAGATCCACATTCAGAGTTTTTATTTGCAGCCTAACTTTTTAATAGCTTGGTTGTATTGTCAGTATATTAGTGTTTTCAGTTTCTTAAATGGTAGCATCAAAACTATCATCTTTATTTACAGAGAGTCCTAAAGATTGGTGATCTGGTATGACCATCTGGTACTTTTAAGGGAGAGAACAGTAAAAACTGTATGTGCAAATATAATGTAATCTTTTATATAAAGTAGCTGATGATGACTGATTCCCAATGAAGATCTAAGAAAATTTTTTGGCAGATTAAAATAACTTCTCCAGTATGTAAATGAAAAATATCTACTTTTAAAGCACTCATTAATTTAGGGATACATACCTATTTAAAAATTATGTATTCTAAAATACCCACATCCTTTGCAGTTCTTTTTTGCATAGGTATTATGTAACTGGAAATTCCCTAATTCATACTACTTTGCCTCTTTAATATAGGGGACAGCAGTTTGCTCAGCAAATACAGCAGCAGAATCCTGAACTTATAGAACAACTGAGAAATCACATTCGGAGCAGATCATTCAGCAGCAGCACTGAAGAACATTCCTGATTAGGGACTGGGGATCCTAGCCCAGTGTGCAAACGGTTTATGAGTCTGAAATATTTGCTGTAGATAGTGGCCAAAACAAAACAACTAAAGAATAAATCTGTGTAGACAATAGGTTTAGCACCAACAGATTTGAACATAACATGACTCTTTTGTGAACAAATGACCTGTAGCCTTGTTAAGTGCTAGTATTGCACTAGACTGGGTTCCATTTTCAAACCTCCATCATATTTGTATATTATATCTAATAGCAGAGTATATTTATTGAATGACAGGGCTGTTTATTGGTGAGTTCTCCAGCTCCAAATTCCCTTAAGAATATTTTTTTCTGAAAGGGGACATCACCAAGAGGAAAGGTTTCTTATGCTGGTTTAGGATAAATATACTTTCACTGAGCAGCATGTCTGGAGGGAAGAAATTTGTTGCCTAGGTTTAGCTGTGATAGTGTTATGAGGTAATGAATATATATCATAGGGGCCAGTACCATCTTAATTGCTGCTGCTTCTGATGGGTGACAGAGAGTCTTAAGAGCTGGTAGAAAACAGTATTTGGTGGAAGGTATGTTATTTTGAAAAGAAAAAAATAGATGAGGTGAATGTATAGATGAAGATAGTATGCTCAGGTTTTCTGCATAGTTCTTCACTAACCTTGCCTGCAATTTGGTTATTGATAATATTAGCATGACCAATTATGCTAAGTACATAATAAAATACATTTAGAAATCCTTAATGGTACTGATTAGGTCAGTTATGTAACTATTCATTTTAACAGCACAATTCCCCCAGTGGTGACCTTACCATGGAAACTCTCATTTAACTACATTTAAATAAGTCAGTGGCTTGACCCTAATTAAGGATTTTCTAAGTGACATTTAATTATGTGCCCATAAATTCTGATTTTCTAAGACTCAGTAATTACTTGATGGATTACAAAAAATCTCTGTCACTAACACTGCTTGTTCATGTAATCCTCTGCTATATTTGGCTTGGCATGCCATTTTTATGCTTAACCTTAATTTGATGCAATTTAAATAAAACAGGGGACTTAAAAGTATTATATTGAAATTAGTGTTGTATTAGTGAAGTGGCATTTGGCATTAATGGTGTGGCTCTAACTATAGTGATGGGTGAGACCATTCTAACTCCAACTGGAATCATGAAATTGGCAAAGTTGAGAAGGCACATAATTAAGTGTTGTGAGGGAAAACCGAAAATTAATATAGAATTAAGTCAATAATACTGATAATGATCAGGGCCTTAATAAAATGGTTCTAAAAAGACTACTTGGTACCTTGACATTTAAACACCAACTTTTCCTTTCTTTCCCTTTGTGAGATTAGAACAATGGGTCTGTAAGAATAACCTGGAGAATTCATTAAAAAAGTAATTCAGGGACACCTTTGATTTCTATTTGATAGTTTTTGTAATAAGGCCCAGGCTTCACTATTTTAAACAGAATACCAGGTGGTTCCCAAGTAGGTCCAGACTCTAATTTCAAAACATTAGGATAGAGGTTTCTTCTCAGACCAGCAAATACCTAATGCTTGGGCTTCAGGATACAACAAAGACATATATGAGCCTACAGTTCTGGCAAGAGAAGACTGAAGCTTAAATCTTAGCCCCTCTAAGTTAAATCTATATTCCATCAAAACTAATGTAACTTTTCATGAAGTTAAATTCAATTCCTAGGGTTGAAGTGTTATACAGAATTATGTACTAATGAGTCACATGAAAGTGATGATGGCAGGAAAAAAAAGCAAACTTGATCATACTGAAAAATCAGGTACTAGCAAAACTATCTTGAGTATATTAATAACACTTTCAGATCAGATCAACAAAACTGACTAGGAAAACAGAAAGTACAAAGCAACACTTTTTAAAAAAAAAGAGGTGGTTATAACCCTGCAGATCCTGGAGACAGTAAAAGGATAATTAGAAAATACTAATACCAACTTTACCATATACCATATATTTAACAACTTAGAAGAAACAGACAAATTGCTTGTAAGGCAAAAACCACTAAAGCTCACTGAAGAATTAAATATCCTCCAGAGAAAAATATACAGGCCCAGATTTCAATAGTGAATTCTACCACAACAGGGAGAAATAATTTTATACAATTTTTCTAAATTATAAAAGAGGATACTCTTCCCAACTTAATTAGCTATTACTTTATTACCAAAATCAGACAAAGACATGAAAAAAAAAAAAAAAACCACTTTAAAACAGTATCTTGATTTGCTATTATCTATAGTTAACGCAGCCATTCTTTTGACTTGAATGAGAACTGGTATTATTTCTTCCATTTCACTTTTCCTGTTTCTTTGCTAATATACCACCAATAACAAATTCTACTTACCTGATTTTCCATTCTCTTTAAGCCATTTTTGTTCAAGTATTTCGACTACTTTGGAGTCACTGCATTGCAGGCTCTTTCAAGAAGATTTTGTGTCGTTGGACTGTGTTAGCTACTTTTATAATTATAAGAAATTCCCAAAATATTTTGACTTGTTTGGAAAATATAGTTTCAGTCTAACTAGAGAAAGAAGAAGACACTAAAGTAAAATATTTTATCTATGTTCTCCTTAGGAATAATTGACTTCTAATAACCACACTTCACTGTAGTAGCTATACCTGTTAGGATGTTATGTAAAACTTAAGATGTCTTTTTTATGCAAATGAAATTTTCATTTACTATACCAAGTTGTTTATCTAATTTTATAATGTGGTTTAAACAGGTCCTTTCTAAGATGACATTATCTAACTTTTACTTAAAAGTATGTGTCCAATTTATTGCTTATAAATGAAACTTTTTAATTAAATCATATCAGCAGATTCCAAGTAACCACTAAGCTACTTTTGAATTTGAAACAGAAGGTTCAGTCATGAGAAGAAGCTTGAAGAACAATCAAAATACCTAGAGCAGTGGCTATAAAATCTTATTTCATCATTCAATCAATCTTAAACATGCTGGAGAAAAGATAAATTTCAATTTTACACCACTTGTACTTTATTTTGCAAAGATATTTCATTAATTATTACTCCAGTGTAAGAGGAAAATCTCCTCCTGACTATAAATTTCACTTTGGACCAAACAGTTTGTCAAAGCAATAAATAATTATGCATTTAAGAAAATCCAATTTTTGTATTTGACTTAATGCACTCTTACATTTAAGAAATTATACATACATCCTTAAATTTCCATTTACCAAAATAAGAGTTTTTATTTAACAGCATATGCTTTTGTTTTCTTGACAGAATATCGAAACTTTCTATTACAATCATGTTGTAAAGTTTACATTATTAACCATCTCATTTTTTCCCCACAGTATAAGTACATACATGTAATTACATGCAGAAATAGAAAGTTTTACAAGATTAATACATGATATAAGCTCAAATATAAGAAGCTGGAAATCCTTTATACCCTATGAAAATAGATGACTTTTTTCTCAAATGGGGAAAAAAAAATCAGAAATTTTGGATTTAGAATCAGAAAATACCAGGATTCTTAGTTAAATAAAACCAATTCTGATCTGTTGTTTAACTGAAATTTACATGTGTGTTATACATAAACACAAATACATATCAGTAAAATAATTTTGAAAATAATTAGAAACACTCATACTGTGTTAGAAAGTTACACAAGGACCACCCCTGTGTTTTTCTGTAGACTGAGGAGCTAGGGGAAAAAAAAGAGGGTTAACTGAAATACTAATAAACAAAGTATTGTAAGAATTCTCAGGTTCTAGAAATAACTATCTTCTATACTGAGGTCAACAAATTATGGCCTGCACCCAAGTCCAGTCAGCTGACTGTTTTTGTAAACACCATGTGGTCCTTTGCTACTGGCTGCTCTTATTCTACAATGACAAGAGCTGAATATTTTTGATAGAACCACATTGCCTGCAAAGCCTGAAATATTTTGACAGGGTCAAAACAAAGTAAGAATATGTTCTTTACAAAACTGAAATTTTAACTTTTACAGGAAAGAAATTTAAGTAAATATACACTTATTTTTTGCTGTTAGTGTATCAATTTTACAAAGGTGACAAATCAGAAATTCCTGTGAAACTCAATGAAAAGCATACTACTGGGAATTTTCTTCAGCTTTCCACTTTAATGGCCGAAGATACCACACAGACTTGTGCGATGTCATCATACTCATATGTTCTCTTTAAGAATGTGTCTGTCAGTCTTAAGCCAGAGACGCTCTATTGAGAGAAAGAGATAGAGCTCAGTTCTCATTGGTTAATATGACAGAAGTTATGGCTAGAATAAATGACTGTGGGCTAACAATCCCCAAACTGAAATTACTAAAAAGAGAGCATACCTGCAGTCCCTGCACTGAAGACAACAGAGTAAGGGCAAGGCAGAGAGAGGAACTTGGATGTAGTTTCCCAAGCTGTCTTCCTGAAATGCCACACCAGTGGATAGAATTGGTATTGCACATTTCCAAAACCAGATCCATGGTCCTTTCACTGCTGAACAAATCAGAAAAACAGGAATAAATCTTGTTCCTTTGGCAAAGAGGTTCTGTGATATTTCTTCTTTATATTTCTTCCACTATTGCCACTGAATTTGTTTTCTGGGTACCCAGAGATAAACAACAGAAACAGAAATAAAAAGCTATTATGTCATTTTTATTTCATTTAAGATAGAATCAGGAAAATGAAATGAGATGGCATTTTTTTAAGGTTTAAAGTGGCACTGAAACTAATCTGCCTGTCTGGGTGTAGGCCTTCTGGTTCTATTATTGAACACTGGCTCCCTGGTGCTGATTTGTAAATAGCTTTGCCATTTCTCCAGATTTCAAGACATCTGTGTCTAATTTTGTAGCTATGTATACTTTCTATTTTTGTTAACTACTTCACAGGGAAGAAAAATGAACTGAATCTGGTCCTGTGATTTTGCTATTTAATCTATGGTCCTGTATTATGCAGACAATGTAGAAAATGACTGACAAGATTTAGAAGTAAACACCATTAGGTTTGTTCATTGTTAACATGAAGAGACATTTTTGCATATACACATTATTAGTTTAGAATGCTACGTTAAACTTTTAATGAGTATTTGTGTACTTTTTTTAAATAAGTGAATGCTCATAACTCTACCACTATTTATGACTACTTTCAAACCTTCAGATTCATTTTTTGAGTTTCAGATGACTCAAGTTTTAAACATCTTGAAAAAGGTATGAATTGAGATGAATGTAGAAAGTCTCAAGGTTTCAGAACATTGCAAAAAAGAAAACTTCAATGTGTTGGAAGTCAGAAAAAAGCGAGCAAGAATTACTTTAGGAGGGAACAACTGATAAGCAGTTATTTTAATTTGTATGTACATAGGGTTATGTAATCACATTTTCATAATGAGAAAACTGAAGATCTAAGAAATAATTGCTTTCTAGAAAATTTGAATCAACGTAAGTTAAAGCGAATACCAAAAGACATGGAATTTATTTTTTTACAACACTTTGCTATTTGGTCATTAATCAATTTGCTATACCTCAAAAAACCTCAAAAGAAAAAAATCTAAAAGCACACCCTAAATGCCCTGTGTGTGTTATTCCCTTAGCTCCTATACAGGTGATACTGTATTTACAATGCTGGGTAAGATACAGTCCCTTTTCCTGAATGATTCACAACCTAGTAAGAAAGAAAATAATTATAGCAATATATGAGTGTCCCTAAAAAACTACATTAAAATTTGCTATGACAGAGAGAGGAAAGATTAACTGTGTATGGGACAGTCTAGGAAGCTTTATAGGGGAAGTATTTTTGTATTTTGAAGGATGAATATTTCCTATCTTCCAAATGTCATAAAAGCAGAATGGATATGGAATTATCTAGAATTACACATTCATACTATGAGGGCTGCAATACTATCAAAATGTCCCATACTAATAATACACTCATACACTAAGTAGTAATATGAGTAACAAAACTGACAGGATGGGGATTTAATCCTATGTTTTTCTGGCTTCAAACTCTTGTGTTTGTTGCTTTGTATCAGATACTATATTCTGTTACCAAAACCCCGTTTTCCTATCTATGATTAGCCCTTATTCATAACGATAGTTTTTACATTTTTAAAACTAAAGATATAGCTCAGATATAAGTATGTCTCAGAAAAATCTATTTAAATACATTAAATCTATAATTTGTTATTCTATAAGAACCTACCAAAATTCATGCTTTATTAATCTGAAGTGGGAAGGAAATGTAAACAATGAAAAGAACATGAACTTTGAAGTCAAATATACCTAGTTTCAAATTTTGGCCCTTCCTTTTCTGGCTCTCTGAACTTGAATAAGTCACTAAACCTCTGTGTTGGCTTTTTCTTGCTTAGAAAGTGCATAATTAATACCAACCTCTAAGGTTATGATACATGAATGAAATAAAATACAGAACATGCCTAGTAGAGTAGGAACTCAACAATAGGTAATATACAGCTACCAGATGAAAAACTTTGCAACAGTTAACATCAACATCAAGAGGGCTACATGTCAAAAGGAAACTTAAAAGGAGACAGCATATTTAAAAGATTTTAAAATAATTTTTTTAGGTAATGAAGAAAGGTTATCTACCCACAAATATTGGCATTACCTGCAATTTGTTATTTTACAGGTAATATGAAAAGGTTCTTCTAGGTTTACAGTATCTGGGATTGCCTCCAGAGATAACCTAACATCTCCATAACCTGGAGCCTAAGAGAAAAAGCAACACAGTTAACATACATCTATTACAAAACCTCTTAATTTAAATGAAGGTAACACACTAACACATTCACTCAATAGTTGCTGGGCCTCCAAGCTGATGTTCTGAGAAAATACTCACTTTTCTACTATTCTTGATTCTTTCTTTTGTTGCTGCCACCGTTAGAACAGCACTACAGACTGACCATTTTTGCTATAACTAGTCCATGTTTAGCAGAATTAAGATGAATGTCATAGGTAAACAGTAAAGAAATTTCAGGGGGTTTGAACTTAAAAGGATGCTTTCCAGAGATAATGTAGTTTAATCATGTATCACTATAAATAGTAAGGTTACTGTCTAAACAAAAAGGAGAGATCATTTTGAAACAATTCATAAAGAAAAGCATGTGTGTTCACAAGACATGGTCAGGGATGGGCCACAGAAACATCAGGGTTTAGAACAAGCAATGGCAGGATGGTAGCTCAGCTGTATTTTAAAATAGGCCCTAGTGATAATCTTTACTTTTTCGTTTCAATTACCACTGACAATAAAAATAAATTTTAAAATAGAACATTAAGAATCAGGAGAATTAAGATAATTCTGTAGCATATTCACACTAGCACATGAAAAAGAAGGAGTTATCCCAACTTGGAGCAGAAATCAGGTAAAATATACATCCAAAGCTTTCATGGTGTCTTCAGTGGCACTCACCTGAATTTCAGATGACTCAGATATTAAACACCTTAAAAAAGGTATGAATTGAGTAGGGTGAAGGTAATAAATTCTAGTTTTGGGACACTGCAAGAGGGAAATTTTAATGTGCAAATGATGACCAGTGAGATGACCAACAGTACGAATTACCATTGGAGGGAACCATGGATAAGCAGATTATTTTGCTTGGTATAGTTTAAAAAAAAAAAAAAAAAAAAAAAGGAAATGTATTAAGGATAAATTAACATTTAAACATTTTTCATACATATTAATACCAATTTTAAACCTCAAAGACCAGTGAAATTATTATTCTAGTAATACTATTTTATAGTGCTCTGACATGACAGAACTAGGAAAATTTAAGTTGCTCTATCTGACACTCAATGCCAAAATCCCCACTGTGGTTTTCTTCCAGACTCACCATTCTTTGAAGTTGGCTGGTCTGTAATCTTCCCCTTTCCCCTAGATTTGTTTTCCACACTATGTCCAACTTTCCAATTACTGTTACTCCCTTAATAATGCCTGCTTTTTCTGCAAACTCCTTCTTGGGCTTTAGGCAGTACAAATACTGTCGTGTATCCATTGGCTGCAAATATGCTCTTGATCCAAACGTTGTTACACTGAGAGAGGTGGAGATAGAAATGGAGACAATTCGCTAACATTTTTAAAAGGAAAAACTATGGCTTTAAATATACCTTTGGACAGAAAGTGGATGAATTACCATCCAAAGATCAAGAACAGATTTGTGGTTTCAAAATAAATGAATAGGACTCGTACTGAGAGTGTTTACTTTTTAAAATTCTTTTTTAGTTGATACGGAAAATCTTGAGGTTCTTTATAGTAGATAAGATTACCTAAAATATTAGACAGGTATCAATTAACTATAAATGCAGCAGAATCAAAACCTTAAGTGGGGAGTGGGTAAACTGGGTAAAGGGAATCAACTGCATGGTTATGAGTGGAAACTAAACTTGATGGTGATCACAAAGTAGTATTTACAGATATTGAATTACATGCTTTAAACCAGTGTTACTTTGGAAAAAAAAATTAGAGCCTTAAGTATACTGTCCTGTTTCTCTAAAATTACAAAAGACAATATAGTTTAGAATAAGAAATGTAGCCATCTAAATTAATCATTTTCAAAATGAACAGAAAAAGAATGGAATATTATTGTTTTCCTCATTGGGGCTGTAGGAGGTTATGAACTTTTCTGCACCTAACCACCATAATAAAAGTAAAATATACATACTTTCTTATGCATATTAATGTCAACCCCACATTTATTATTCCTCTTCTTACTTGTAGAAAGAGATTTTATTTTCACACAGGAAAAAATTAAACGATACATTTCTATGCCCTGCTTTTTGATATGAAGAGAACATTTCATCTTAAAACTCACCCTCATGAATAGTGCTAAGTGAAGTAAGTCAGGAGAAAGACAAATAGCAGATGGTTTCACTTACATGTGGAAATCAGAAAAAGAACAAAGGGTCAGACAAAACCATACTAATAACAAACCCTAGATACCTCACAATGAAATTTAGGCTATAAGATGGGAGGGAAGAGGGGGTAAAACACAGTGGTGGGGGGAGCAATGAACTGTGGTGGAGGACTGGTGCCTTGGTGATGGGTGTGATGTGGTGTGGTGACATGTCTGGGGAGGTTTGATCCTATGCCTCTGAAGCACATACGGTGTTATGAACCATTGTTATCTCAATGGAAACAAAAAACTAAAAACCTCACCCCGATTCTTACCCTTTCCAACTTCATCATTCCTTTCCATACCTCTGTTTTCTTTTTTGCAGGTTAAGGAAGAAAGATTTCATATTTACCTCACTGAATTATCATGAAAATTAAAAGAAAAAATACTTCAAATATTGAACACAAAATGCAAATGGCTTATCTTTACTTGGAGGGAGGGATTAAATAGGTGAGCACAAGAGACTTTTAGGGCAGTGAAACTATTCTGTATAATATAGTGTCATTTTATCTGTTAAAATCCACAGAATGTACAATATAAGAGTGAACCCTAAAATGGGCTGTGGTTAATAAGTATTAATACTGGCTCTGTAACAAATGTGCCAACGTAAAAGAAGATGTAAATAACAGGACAAGTAGTGAGTGAGGAGAGGAACATATGGAATTCTGTGCTTTTTGATAAAATTTCCTGTGAACATAAAACTTCTCTAAAAAAATTAAATCTATTCATTAAAAAAGTTATAAACTACCTAAAAGGAATGGGTATTAGAAGGGTTTTTAATCTTTCAAAATAAGAACACTTCATAGTTCATATTTACCATTCTCCATCTTGGTTGACTGAATTTAATTCTGCAACATTGTACATTATAGATGGTTCCAATGAAACTTTCTCCATAAACATGGGTGAAGTTGTAATATTTTGAATCTGGGCTTCCAGAAATACTTCATCAGTCTGAAGATACGAAAAAAAATATCCACCAAAGAGTGATGGTATTTAAAATATGTACCTCAACAAAAATACCTTATCTATATGAAAAAATATATTACCACAAATGTGATTAGTTCATGCCTGCAAATCAAAATTATAATAATTAATGCAAGAAGTCTTCATCCTAATGTAATTAACAGGGGCAAAGAGTCAAGTGTTAGTCAACCGATACTTGTCAAACAATGGATGGGGGATAATTATAATATTTTTTGTACTGACATCCAAAAATAATTTTCATTGGGAATTTCATTCACAAATATCTCAAATCATCTAGTAAGTCATTAAAAATGTTAAAATGAAATTCAATATAATGAATATATCTGTGTACCTATCACTTAAGTGATATAATTATGTCTTCTTTATAAATATTCTGGCATAATGTAACTTAAGTTCTCATATTCAATTTAGATAGTACAGGAATCACTTGTATCATGAAAAATCTATTTTATAATCTTATAGGATTTAACTTTTTTTAAAGATTTATTTATTTATGTATATAAGAGCTGGGTGTAGGCCATAGGTGTGTGTGTGTGGGAGAAGATTCACCAGAGACAGAGTGGGAAGCAGAGCAGGCATACTGACTGAAATACACTGCTGAGAGGAGCAGCAGGCAAGACAGGAGAGGTCTGCTGCACCAGGTGGGTCAGCTCCCTGGCTGGGATCAAACTTGTGCTGCGGTGGCTACCTAGTGCTGAGCTTCATAGTAGCTTCATAGTGCTGAGACTTAACCCCTTGCACCACCAGGGAGGCCACAGATTTAACTTTTAATGAAAGTAAATTATGGTGGTCACTGGTGATTTCTTGATTCATTTAAATGTATATCTAGGGCTAATATAATGTGAATTATACCTGACAAACTTACAAGCTTTTAAATCAAACAAAAGGTATTTTATAGCCTTACAAATAAATTTGAAACTGAGGCTATTCAACACCATTTAAGTCAATGGGTAACTTAAATATGTACTTTAATATAAATGTTTTGTTTCCTGGTTATTTATGCTAAACATCCTTTTTATGCTTTTTGGTTGTTATTTTGTGTGTATAGTAGTTCCCCCTTTATCTGTGGTACAGTTTAAATTACCTGTGATCAAGTGCAGTCTGAAAATATTATCTACAATATATTTTGAGAGACTACATTTGCATGACTTTTACTATAGTGTATTGTTATAATTGCTCTATTTAATTATTACTTGTTACTCTTATTGTGCCTAATTTATAAATTAAACTTTATGATAGGTATGTACATACAGCAAAAAAAAAAAAAAAATGTCTACTTAGAGTTTGGTAATATCCATGGTTCAAAGCCACTCACTGGGAGTTTTGGAAGCTAAGTACCATAGATAAGGGGGAGGCTGCTAAGGATAACAGACTACATTGGTTCAATTTTGAAACAAGTTTATAGAAAAATGATGTACTTAAGAATATCTTGAACTTTGTTCAAAGTTTCACAGATATATAAAGAAATAAAAAAAAACAAACTGATAAAAGTTTTGGTACTTAATGAGCTTTTCAATACTGGATACATGAAAATGGAAATAATTTATAAAAATATAATAATGAAGTTATGATTTAATGTATTACTACTTAAAATAAGACGCTCTTTTGTCCTTAGCACATGTGCACAAATGAAAATGGAAATAGAATGATCTATCCATTTAAAAATGTACCTCTTAAGTACTTTTTCTCAAAAAAAGTATATATATCCCATAATCCATTGCTTCAAAAAAATAACCATAAACCCACATTTCAATTTTAAAAATGAAATTTTCTGCATAAATTTAGGAAGAACTTAGATTAAATGGAAGAAAAATAAGCAGCATAATGGAAAATTAAAGTTAGTCTGAACAGTTAGTATAAAGTAATTTAACACTTGAAAAATTAGGATAAATAAGAAGTTAAGATTTATGGCAGATGTTTGTATGGAGATGATGTGACATAAGCAAGTGCTTATTTTTTAAATAGAAATTTAAAAATCTGATTTTAGCCAACTTGAGGAAATTTGATTTTCTTCCGTCACTGTTGTCAAAGGGCCATCCTTACCTGACCCAGACTTAACACTAGAACTACTGTGCATTGAAGATGAATTTCAAACTAGACAGCTTATTAAAAAATTGAAGTATGGTGAGGTAATTTTCAGTAAGATGTTGAAATTACAAGGTTATTTTGAACAAAGTTAACAAATCTTTCTTAAAAAAAACACCAAAAGGGGAACACAAAAATGAGAATATAACTATTTCAATATGACAATTTAGTCTTTGATTTAATTTTTCCCCTACACAAGAAAATACAATATAAAAAGTACAAATTATATATATATCTGTTTGAAGTCGCATAGGTGGTATTCACAACTAACTATTTTTCCATTATGTTTTGTAAGGAGAGATTAATTAGGCAGACAGTAAAAACAAGGTGAGTAAGAAAGCATATAAATTTATAATAAAAAATCAAATTACCACAGAACTGAGGTCACTCTAATGGAAAAATAAAAAAGAAAAATTAGAAAAATCAGAATTAAATGTTAAAGAAAAAAGAATAACTTATTTAAAATGAAATGCATTTCTGCATTTTTTTAATTACTAAACAAGACAGCATTAGTAAAACAAGAAATAAACAGAAAGCAACATAAATATGACAAATCTTTTTTAAAAAGGTGAAACTGCTAAGGTTATATGAACAGAGAAGAACAATAAGGTGAGTGACTATTTCAATAAGAGCAAATATTCAATGGCACATATTAGGGGAGAGAGATATATCTCTACTTTCTAGTTTTATAAATTCTTTACCTAGATCATAATTCTTATAGATTACTTAGGCTGGGTATACACAATGCTCCACATTCAGTAGATTGACACTGTGCAGCTTCTCCTAAATTTAGCCAATAACAGATCCTTTTTTCAAGGAACATCTTGGTCAATTAGACTTCCATGGGTCACATTCTAGGGAATGCTTGGCTAGTGTACTTCAGACAATTGAGAGTTTTAGTCTTTTTTAGATACATATTTTTTAAAGCTATTTATCAAAGGCCATCTCAAATGTCACCTCTTATATCAAACACAGAAATAATTTTTCATCTGTTCCCAGCATATAAGTACACTCATTTAGTGATGTGGGTGGGGAGAGGTACTTATATGTCATGTCAGTCCTCGAACTAGACCTAAGATCCTGGAGCACTGGGAAGCTATTCAGTATATTTATTTCTCTTCAATACCTGGCATGCAGCACTGTACTTAGCAACTGAGCAAATGTTTGAATCCTAGCTTCTAATGTCACCATTCTTCTTGTAAGGTTTTCCTATTTTAGAAGACTACAACAAAATTTCTCATGAAACTTGTTTTCCTTTAAGTGATTCACGTATTATTGGAATTATTAGATACAGTATAAAAACCTTATGTTGAGACAAACATGGGACTAATTATGGTCATTCTGTAAGGTATCATTTACTGAAATTAGTGTGGTATACTAATTCCTATAATCTACTTGAATTTCCAACTTGGAGTAAAAACAGTTTGTCTCATTCTACAGGCTGACCAGTATTTGTTTGCCTAATAGGTAATACAGAGTATCTGTATCTCACAGACTATAATATAGGACTTATAAAATATCCTAAAGAGCCCCTAAATACTATCTGTTCACTATAAGTTTTTAAAGTGTGTATTTTCAGAAGTTCAGAATTTTACTAAAATTTTTTTAATTGAAGTTTGTTCGCAAAGTTTAGATTAAATGTTATGCCTACATGTAATGTTAACTGAGAAAGGAAGCAAACAAAATTGTTACTATGATTATACAGAATATTATTTACAAACCAGTAAAGACTGAACGAATACAGATTAGTGAAATATCAGTTACTTGCTGGTATGGTGGGATTGTGGGTTTTATTCTTTTGGGGGAGTATGTCACATATAATATTCATGGACTACCTAGCAACTTAAAAAAAAACTATTTGTAAATCACTTTAAATATCAGTGTTATAAAACTTCACAAAGATCTCATGTACTACCACATGTTAAAACTTAAATAGCTTTATGTGTGCCTTACTAGGTGCCAGTTAGAGAGAAAAATGGACCCACTGATAACCCTTAATTTTAATTTTCTAACTTATCCAACTAAAGAGTTAACATTCACCCCTTACTGTGAATAAAATCTTTTCTAGTAAAATGATATAGTAATACTATTTAAAATCCAGCAAGCTGAATAATTTTATACTATACTCATCAACAGTATAGTATTAGTAACAAGCAAGGTAGAACATATCTAGTATCCCAACTTCCCTACTCATAAAAGCATCTAGTAATCTCCTTGCTCAGACTGTAAACTCCCAGCTGATACATATGCTCATCACTATGTACTCAATATTCCAATTGCATTTGCAACTCTGCTTGGAATGCCTTCTCTGCACTGACATTTTGATATCTTCAACATCAATTTCTCATAGATTTTGCTACAAGTTTGCTCCTCTTCCATAAAACTTCCAACTACTCCAAAAATTAAATCCGTAAAGTTTCTGTAACACATCTTTTTCATCTTTCTCTTTAGACTCACTCTATACTATATGAGGTAGTTTTGTTATTTTATGTACTTATTTCTTTTCACCTTAAGTCTTTTCTGTAGTTCAAATTTCTTATCTTAGACATCTTTAGTATTTTTACTTGTATTACAAACATTATGCTGAATAAAAACTCAGATACTGATGGCAAAAATAAATACCAAATTTGACACTATAGCACATTTCATCTGTTTGTAGAATAATAAAGGTATAATCTTTGTTTCAAAATACTGTATTTGAGTATTTTTGCATTTATCATTGTGATATGAAACACATGATTATGTGGGGTATAGGACCCTCAAGAAACCTGCCTTTTAAAAGCCAGGATTATACAAAAGATACCCAAGCAATAAAACCTTACTCCTAAGGCAAATTCTATTTTACCTCTTTTATTTGGATAGAAGACAGATTATCTTTAATTCTAAAAGATTATTTTTGCCTAACTTGCTTCTTCAAAAGAGAATTTCAAGCTATTCACCAAGCTCAGTAACCTAACTTCTGCCTGGTGCCCTGCCTTCTCAAAACAAAGAATTTAATGTGCTGAGCTTATCAATATTTTTTCATGTAAATATCAAGTCTTTTTTACTATAGGGCTAGATCTTATTTTTGTAATACTGGAACCACATTATATTAAACAGATTTCTAATGTTTTTAGACAGTAACAACAACTATTAGATGGAATTATGGGGCAATCATACGATGAAAAGGAGTTAAAGTCTCACAAAATTAACAAGAAGAATAAAAATCAAGCCATCATAATTCCATGCCAACTGAAGATTAAAGGACGTCCACAACAAAGTTATTTGTTTTTGACTGAAGATTATGCTCATTTTTTGATAATTTTAAGTCATATCAGTAATCTATTTCTATGTGAATAATGTAATACAACAGAATTTTAGTCAATTAAGATCTTAATGTTTAATTTGCATCTCATTAAGTGCCCAATACTTACCTCTGCATTGTAAAATTTGGTTTTCACATCCAATGGTTTGAGAACCTAGGTGAATAAAGCATATGTCAGAGATTCTTTATCGGACCATTTATTTTTGTTTCTTTTAAATTACAGGGTTTAAAGTCATCAAAGGCTTTCTTCAATATTATTTATAAGAGAATTTTCTAAAGAATATGCAATGCTCTTGCAAAACCACACATAGACACACACACACAATCCTAAATGCATTTTTTAAAAAGCAGCCATAATTTCTTGATTGAGTGATAGGTGCATGAGTATTCACTTCATACATTATGCTAGGCTGGCCACATATATTTAAATGTATTTCTCTATATATTTCAAAAAAATGCTTACCAAAATAAGCAACCAAAGAAACTTTTATCTTCTCTTAAAAGGCATGTAAAATCCTAAATAAGTGATGTAGTCAAATAATAGCAAATATTCCCCCTGGTGATAATGCAGTTTCTTCCATTTACATAATTTTTCATTTTTGCACAATGTATACATTTTCATTTTGGTTATATTCCCCATACAATTGCACCCTCCCTTATTTTGACCCTAATCCTTCCCTTCCTCTACCCCCAGTGTGGTTTATAGTTGCTTGTTGATTTTGACTTTCACTTTGTATTAATTAGTCTTTTTCTTGGTCCCTTATTTAGGTTTTCTAAAATCCCGCTATAAGTGAGACCATCTGGTATTTTTTTTTCTTTCTGACTTACTTCGCTGAGCATGATCCCTTCTAGCTCCATCCATGTTGCTGCAAACTGCATGTGTTTATCTTTTTTGATTGCTGAGTAATATTCCATTGACATACATATTTGTTAAACCAATGGTTTTAAACCAGGTTTGACCAAAGACTTGAAAAACTGTTAACAAATACAAAATTCTCTCTAAAATTTCAGTTAACTTTAAGTCCCTGAAGGAAGCTTGTTACAAATAAATAATCTGCAAACATTTCTTTAGAAATCTGATACTATACTTATTTTATTCTTCTTCTAGATTCCTAAGTGTTTCTGCAAAGTCAGAAAAAGAAATTTCATTTGATAAAAATATCAAATTCATTATAAAAACATTACATTGGCAATGATAATTTGTTTTTATTTAATTTAATTTAGTCTGAGTTTAGACTGTTAGTAACATGACACATTAAAAAAAGTTAAGCTATTTGCTTTATATGAAGTCCATTTTCATTGCATATAAGTAAGAGTAACTGTATACTTTTCCAGGGGGAAAAAGGTATCTAAACATTAATTACCATTGTCATATTTAATACCTGAAATTTGAAGAATTTTCTAAAGTACATTTTTTCTCCTCCCTGAGTTGTATAACTCACTGCACACACCAAGCTGAAACAGAAAAAAATTGTCTTAATGGTTTTGAATCATTTTTAATTTTGTTTAATAGCAAATCTAATACACCTCAGTTCCATATACAAACTTGGAAAATATTTATACCCCAATAATGTGGAAGTGCGGCAGAGTAAGTCTAGCACAGGGAAAAAAAAAACAAAACTCCAGCATATATGATAAAATTACATGAACACAAATGCTCTGATTAGCAAAATTTTAAGATATACTATTTTTGAAAGAGGAAGTCAGAAATTTCTCCTTCAAAGGGGGACATATATTTAAAAATAAATCTCAAAAAAAAAGCAATTACTTATAAGTAATAGTTTTATGTAAAAAAAGTTTATATGCTCTAGAAGAAAATAAAGAAATTGAAAATATTCTAGGGTGGAAAAAGATTTTAAAATAAATGCAATGGAAAGGAAAAACTTAAAAATTTATAAATTAAGAAATCAGAAACACTAAAAAAATTAAAAAGCTGACAGCAGATGAATCATAATAATAATTATATATGCATCTACCAACTACATCCAAAATGCATGAAATAAAAACCGACACATTTGAAGGAAGAAATAAAAACTTAATTTCCAATTACTTGAAATAGAACTTGAACTTAATAATAGAGTAAGACATTACTTCTGAATATAAAAATAAAATGGATTACAAAGGACGAATGTGAACAAATTAGATAATTTCGATCAAATGGACAAATGAATAAATTCTTATATAAATCCATAGATTCTTTTTTTTTTTAAAGACTGATTTATTTGCACACAAGAGCTGGGGTAGAGGCCAGAGATGCAGTGGGTGAGAGGATTCAACAGAGACAGAGTGAGGAACAGAACAGGCAGATCGACTGAAGTACACTGCTGAGGGAAGCATTGGGTGAGGCAAGGGAGGTCTGCTGCGCCATGTAGGTCACCTTGTAAGTCAGTAAGACATTGTATCTCACTCAAAACAGTATGAAAAGAATACAACAATAAATCATACTACTATAATTGGCTAAAAAAAATGGAAAAGTTCAGCCTCACAGTAGGCAAAGAGACAATAAAAGTAAGGCGATAAGTTCCTATCTCAAGATATTGTGAAACTTTTTTTAAAATTTATTTTTCTTACATTGTTATTCATTTTTGTGCAATAAATCTCCTACCACCTCATCACCCATGAACCATCACTGTAGTTCCTTGTGCTCGCCCCTCCCATTTTGACCCCTTTCTCCCCATCCTTCCCTGTTGTATGCCTTAGATCTATAGTTTATCTGCAAGTTTTGTCTTGCTTTTTTTGACCCTTGTTCGGTTTCCTTATATTCCTCCTATGAGTGAAACGATCTGATATTTTTCTTTTTTCCTTCTGACTTATTACATGGAGCATAATCCCTTCTAGCACCATCCATGTTGCTGTGAATGGCATGAGTTTGTCTTTTTTAATTGCTGAATAGTATTCCATTTTGTATATATATATTTCTTCTTGATCCATTCATATGTTTTTGGGCACTTAGGTTGTTTACATATCTTAGCTATTGTGAATAGTGTTGCAATACTGCAAAATTTTAAGTCACAGGGTTGGTGAGGTTTTAGGAAAATGGACTCCCTTTGCACCATTAGTAGTTATAAGAAATTTAGAAAATAATCCTTTGTCAAAAGAGCCTTAAAAAATATATAGTAAGGCATTTCAAGTAATCCATCATAAGGAAATATTAAGGTGCTCATCATTTTCACTTTGTAGTTTCACTTATGATTGTGAAAAAAATAGAAATAATTTTAATTCCAAATCAGAGCAAACAAATTTAAGTGTGTAAGACAAAGGCATTTAAAAACAATGTATTCAGTAAATAATGACTCAGATGGGAAACTGTTAATAGTGAATTGAAAAATAAAAAAACATAGGTAAGTGATCAAAATTCTGTAAAACATTTATTTACAAACATGTTTTATATATGCACATAAAGGAGATCAGAAAGAAACACATCAGTGTTTTAATAGTATTTAAACTAGGTAGTGACATCATCTAGTTTATTTCTCTTTTATATTTGTGCCTAGTTCTAAGTCAAGTCTATGGATATAAGAATTGATCAAAACATAATACCTACTTTCAAGAGAGCTCACAAGAGGAAACAGTGTAGCAAGGCACAGATTTTAAAGTTTGATTTTGATTTGAGTTCTATCTTTTTTAGTAATTTGATTCTACAAAAACCAGTGGCGATTTTAAAGATTCAATATCTTTTCGATAAATTCAGTTTCAGCAAATACTGACCACTGTTCTATGTTAGGCCCTGGGGATACAGCTGACTTCAAGGAATTCTCACTTTAATGAAATAGCAGGCATTCAGTAAGTAATTATTGACATTAAAAAAATGACAAGTTGTGGGTGCTACAGAATGCACAAAAGGGGGGATTTAATCTAGACTAAGTCAGGAAAGCCTCCTTGAGGAAGTCATGCTGAATTTGAGATATGAAGTAGAAGTAGTCTAAACAAAATGATATAGGCATTCCTTCGTAAAGGAAGATAGTTCAACTGTATTGGCTGCATTGTAGAGCAAAAGGGAGGCATGTACAAAGATGAGAACTAGAGTGGTTGGTAAGGATTATGTTTTGGAGAAGTTTGTAAAACCTATACGAAGTCAGAACTTCCTAAGGACAGTAGGAAGCCAATGGAGAGTTGAGTGGCTTATCCAAGATCATATAGTTAATAAATGATGGAGCCTAAACTTGAACTCCAGAAAACATTCCAAAACTCATGCCAATCACAGCACATATACTAAAGAGACTGTCACCAAAATGTATTGATAAAATAATAGCTAATATTATATATTTTCTTTTTTTTTTTTTTAAAGATTTATTATTTATTTATTTGTTTGTTTATACATACAAGCACTGGGTACAGTCAGAAGTGCGGGAAGGTGAGAGAATTCACCAGAGCGGGGAGCAGAGCAGGCAGAAGGACCGAAGTACACTGCTGAGGGGAGCAGTGGGCGGCAGGAGAGGTCTGCGCGCCATGTGGGACCCTCCTTTGGTGGCCAGGGAGCAGCCGGGGATTGAACTGGTGCTGCAGAGGCTGCGGGCAGCTTCGCAACCCAGCGCTCAACCGCTGCGCCACCGGGGAGGCCCTATTATATATTTTCAAAGAAAAAGACAAGAAGCAAATATAAGGTGACATAAGAGGAGATAAAGAAGGGAAACTAATGAGAGATAATTTGAGATTTTTCCCCCCGCATATCTTGTCTTACCGTGAGTCTATATTTTGAGTTCTCAGGGTAAAGATAACACAGTTAAATATAAAACAGAGAAGTGAAAAATTGTAATTTAAAGATAAATGCTATAAACATCAACTGGTAGCATTTCAAAAATAATAAATACAACTTTAGACAGTGTTTTAAGCATTTCCACCTTTTTTATAAATAAACTTACCTATAAATACACAAATGAATGAGAGATAACTTTCGTCCACTATAAAACAAATACTTGTTTATTTGTTATGGTAAACATGTAAATACAGAAAATAAAATTCATTCTGAAGTAGATTTTTAGGTTTAATGATAAATAGAAATAAAGCCAAATTTCAAATAAAGGCACACACATAAAAGCCTTTGAACACAAATAGAATTAATCCTTACATGTGTGTTCCAATTTCTTTAACTTCATGGTGTATGACGTCATCAATACAACAATCAGGCTTCAGTTCAGCTACTGCAGCATTGGAGGCTGAAAGATTTAAACGTTGAGAACTTGTCTGAAGATCAGCCTTTAAAGAAAGAGGTAAAATACTCAAATGAGATTGGTTACTTACATAGTATGCATAGGAAGGACAGAAAGCACAGGGGAACAGGACAAGGTAGTAAGGATAATGGGCAAAACATTAATTCTCTGTACAAATATTTCTGCACACAGAATCATGGCAATAGTCCACACACACATCAAAAATAAATAAAGTCAGGCAGGAAGTAGGGGAATCCAAAATGATATGCAAAGAGTATATCAAATGAAGCTAACTGTGTTACAAAAGGACAAAACCATACAGGGGGAAGGGAAGAGGGAAAAAAAAACAACCTAAGTAAGTTTGGCAAACAAAAGCTAAAGGAAAAAAAGGTAGACAAATGTACTCTACATTTGTTTTGTCACAACGGTATGGATTAGCAATACTGAAACTTTTATGTGTCTTTTTAGGTTAGGGGACTAACCTAAAGAAACATATTTTGGATCAGAAGAGGCAACTTTCTCACCCCTGGAGAATGAAAGGTATAAATAAGAAAAGGGAAAAGATTACAATGAAATTTTTAGTGTTGGACTGGAATTTTAGGCATCAGCTTGATGAACATATAGTTTTTAAATATATATACAGATGGACATGATACACAGAAAATACAGATGTGTATGCATGTATCAGTCTAGAATACTAAAAGATAAATAATTATTCAAAACAATATTAGGTGTCAGAAACCAGCTGATTTGTAGAACTAAATGGCATTTAAAGTCATCAACTATGAAAGTATTACCTTTTTTTTAGTAGCACCCTCCTCCCACCCAGTCAACTATTTTATTCCCCTTTTTATTTCCCTTTGAACATTTATCACTCTGTATAAAATGGCATCCTCCATAAACTGTTATTTCTGTCACATTCAACTTTAACTTCCCTTGTAACATTTATCACAATCTACAATTACCTTATTTATGTTTTGTTTACCTGTTTCTTTCTGTCTCCCCTACCAGAAATGTAAGGTCTATGGAGGCAGGAACCTCTTGTCTTCTCTTGCTCACCACTATAACACGGTGCCTGACACATAGTGGGCAATTAATACATATTTGTTGAATACTGAATGAATGAAGTTATGATAAAACTTCAAGGTAAATGTCAAGAAAAATTCAGAGAAAATTCACATTATGTCATGGGGATTAGGGAGAGAAATTTACATAAGAACTAGGACTCTTAAATTTTTTTTTTAAATAATTAACATGTTTTCTGCACTTTAATATTCTAAATTCTAAGTACTCTGAAGTGGGAATATTTACTAGTGTTGTCTCTTTGCTGTCATAATCAGTTATAAAATCACAGTATATCACATTTATTCAGCATGTACTATGTATTAGGCCCTGTTCTAAACACATTTATTCGCCCTGTTCTAAACACATTTATTCAACACCCACACTTCTGATGTAGGTAGTTGTTCCTATTTTACAGACAATAAAACCAAGGCACAAAGAGTAACAAACACCCTAAGGTTATACAAATAATAAGCAGTGGAGATGAGATTCCATTCTTGAACACACACATTGGAAATTAAAGAAGAGGAGGAAAGATGTAAATAGTCAAACTCTGTAGACTTTCTGTCCAATATCTGCCTATAATATATATAACCCAAGTATGTATTATATATGGCTGAACACTTTTATCTCTCTTCTTTTTTCACTATCATAAATAATGGATGTCCTGAATATTTACTTTCTAATTACCTACTATGTGCCAGGACTTTGTCCCAGGAGCAGGTGATACATTAGTGAACAAAGCAGCCCAAAATTCCTGCACCTAGTCGGTTTAAATGTCTGGGGGAAACAGCAAATGAGGCTCATTTGGGGTTGAGGAACACAATTTAAATTTCAGGGTAGTCTTCAAGCTGAAAATTGGTTTTTGGATAAATAGGATTTAAATAGTGGAGAGGAAGGGGGAACGAGGGAATCATTTCAAATAAGTTAAACAGAGCTACAGCAAAATAACATAAATGTGAAAGCCCAAGATGTCTTTAGATATCTTGGCCATTAAGAAAGAAGTATGATAGAGCCTGGCTGGTCAGTGTAGTTATTAGAACATAAGAAAGAATTCATGTTTAGGAATACAGAAAAGTATCCAAAAACATCTAGATTAAGCTTTACAAAAACAGAGGCCTTGTCTGCTTCGTCTCCTCTTGTAACCTAGTACCTAGAATAGTGCCTTGCATATATACTTGTAGAGTGAATGAGTGAATGTCTCATTTACACCAAAGGCTCTCACAATATGGTTCCCAGAACAAAAGAATCAGCTGCACCTGGGAACATGTCAGAACTGTAAATTCTTGGGTAGTAGTCCAGATCACTTGAGTCACATTCTCTGAGCATAGGGCAGCAATCTGTTTTAATAAGCCATGCAGATGATTTTGATACCATCTTAAGTTTCAGAACAACTGGTATAGACCACAAGAACTATCTATTACTTTTTTATTTATAGAATATTAATTATATTTTTTATAGAATTTTTTTTTATGGCATGTTAACATTTTTTTGACACTGCTGAGAATCTTTTCAATTAAAAAACAAAAAGGGCCTCCCTGGTGGTGCAGCGGTTGAGCGCTGGCTTGCGAAGCTGCCCGCGGCCTCTGTAGTGCCGGTTCAATCCCCGGCTATTCCCCGGCCACCGGAGGAGGGTCCTACATGGCGCGCAGACCTCTCCTGCCGCCCGCTGCTCCCCTCAGCAGTGTACTTCGGTCCTTCTGTCTGCTCTGCTCCCCACTCTGGCTCTGGTGAATTCTCTCACCCTCCCGCGCTTCTGACTGTACCCAGTGCATGTATAAACAAAACAAACAAACAAATAAATAAAAACATACCTCTATTAAAAAAGTGGTTTTCAGCTAAGTATAGCAGATTATACAAGAATTTCTACTCTCAGAAACAACATTAAGAAGACAGGAAAAGAATGACAAAAAATATGGATCCACAATCTCTTTTCCATGATTCCAAAATTCAAAGAGCTGCAAAGAATTAAATTTTTGAGGGCAGAATTCTGAGTTACTGAAGTAACGGCAGTAGTGTAATGTGAGTTTCCCAAGTCAGTCTCAAAAAATAAAAAATTAAAAAATAAAATAAAATAAAACTATACAAAATCTTGTGTTAAAATAACTAGAGAGCAGCAAACATCCAAATTTCAAATTACCTCTAAGTAGGCAAGTATCAAATTTCTGCATGACTTATTTCTCATGCTCTTGCTATGAGTCTTTGAAAAGAATAAGAGAAGTTCAGGAAAAACTGAGCTAAAGAGAGAAAAGAAGCGTAGAGACAGGTATAAGAATGATCTTTACCAGTGCCAGACAACGTCTACCTTCAGTGTGGAAACACTGAAAATATGTATTACTGGAAGACGAGAGGACAGTCAACAAAGAAGGATCTTAACATTATTTTTGATTATGAAGAAGCCATCTTGAAAAGGTAATACTTCAAGCGGAGAAGGCATTAAATCTGGGAGCTGCAATTCAAAGAAAAATCGAGGAACACAGCATTTTCTTCCTTCTCCATAATTCCCAAAAGTCACCCATTAAAGAAACCACACTTTGCTCACAGTTATAAAAAGACATTCTTTACCTAAAAATATCAAAGTGCCCCAAACCACATTTCACAGACTGCAAAGTCACTAATAGTTTTCATCTATAAATATATACTAGGGCCTCCCCGGTGGCACAGCGGTTGAGCACTGGGTTGCAAAGCTGCCTGCAGCCTCTGCAGCACCGGTTCGATCCCCGCACGCCGGTGAGGTTCCCACATGGCGCGCAGACCTCTCCTGCCGCCCGCTGCTCCCCACAGCAGTGTACTTCCGTCCTTCTGCCTGCTCTGCTCCCCGTTCTGGCTCTGGTGAATTCTCTCACCCTCCCGTGCTTCTGACTGTACCCAGTGCTTGTATAAATAAAATAAAATAAATAAATCTTAATATATATATATATATATATATAAGTATATACTATTGTGAGTATAGCTGTGTGTCAAGAAAACTTATGGAGATGGAAATCTGAATTTCATATAATTTTTGCATCACAAAATAAACTTTTATTTTTTTTCAATCATTTGAAAATGTGAAAAACATTCTTAGCTTGAAGTCTTTATAAAATCAGGCAATAGACCAAATCTGGCCTGCAGTTTGTAGTTTGCCAACATGTCATCTAATGAGAGACAGAAACCCAGTTCATAATATGACAAACACATACTTGCACGCCAAAATTTGATATTACTTCTGGAAGTTGGATCATATATGAAATTTGGAATAGGTGTTTTCTGAAGTCCTTTTTAATTCTAAAAGTAGCTGATCATTTTCAAGTTCATTCTAATTGGACTTCCATTTGGCAATGCCCTAATGACAAACTCATTACTTGAACTGCCTGGAAAATAATTTCTCTTCCCCAGGTAATGAAGTTTTACTTTCTTTAAGACCTTTTTCTTTTTCTTTTTCCTGTGAATAAATTTCAGGTTGTTAAGTAGAGTTTACCATATTCTATCTCTTGATTTCTGAAGTACTGCAAGGATCTTCTGTTCATTTCCTACAACCCATCCTATACATTGGTTTCACATCAGTCTTCTAGCAGTGTGATACTGTTAGGGGGAAAGGATGTACAGAGCAAACTCCATACAGGCTTTGTGGATGTTCCCCCACTCCATCAAGACACTGGAAACTACAAATCCCATGATCCCCAAAGGGAAGTTGCAAGGACCTAAGGGCGGAGTTAAGCAGCCATTTTCTCTGTAAATAAAATCAGCCATGTTAGGGGGGTCTTGAGCACTTGGTTTGTGCTCTTGGCCATGGAGGTTTGGTCTCGACCAGTCATTTGGGATTCCAGGTTGGTGGAATGGGTAGGACGCATTTAAGAATTTATCTCCCTCTTTTCTCCCTGAGTTGTACATTTCCTCATTCCCCTTTCTTTGTAAATAAACCTTTTGTTAACCTTTTTTGTGTGCCTGCAGTGTAAGTCCCTTTTAAGCGTGCGGGTGAGGACCCATAGTTAGGCAACCTGTTTTAGAGCGGGGTTGCCCTGTAACAATATCTCTGCTCAAAAGTCTTCACTGTCTACTCTTTTAAAAACGAACCAACCAACCAACCAATTACCAACCATACAAAATCTAGCCTTGTTTTCAAGATGTCCCATTGTTTGCTATATACCATTTCTGTGCACTGCTATTAGAACACATTATGTATTCCTGTTTCTGTTCATGATTACAATGTCTTGCCTTTTTCTATAAATTCTAATAGTCTTTCAATATCTTCTGTGTTCCCTTTCTTCCAATGAGCATTTCTGATACAAACCCCATGATTTTTCTTAACTTTCAAATTTTATTATGCTAACCGCATGTATTCACAAAAACTTAAACTGTTAGCTGCCTGTAATGTGTATATTTTCTCACCTAAGTTATCATACACTGTGAATAAGGAAAAATGTTTCTGTGGTTCTCATAATTTCTTATGCTGTTAGGTATTCAATTAATGGTAGCTGTTAATGACAATTAAAAAGTCCAGTATCAAACAAGCATTTTAATAAAATTTCAAAAGACAATTATAAAATTTTAAAACTTAAAAAATATATATCCCAAACAAAAATGCTACTTACTTTTACCAGTATATCTTTTACCACTTGATTGCTGTCGTTATGAACGCTGATGTAACTGGAAAAAGTTTCTCCCAAAAATATATTCCTGTGAAACAAAATAAAATTTTAGGCATAAATCCATATAAGTTTCTTGACAAATAGTCCATTTGAGCATAACTCAGAACTTCAAATGGAGAAAAATTTACTAAAGGATAGAGATCAAAAGAAATAATGTTTTCACATTCCTTTGCTTACAAAGGCTATTCACTTATTACCTAGCGCAACTCAAAATACTGCCTTAGTCTATAGAACATTATATATACTTTAGCCCTCAACTTTGCACATAACTGTCAGTTTCACTGGAAACAGAACCAACTGAATCTTTGTATCTGAAGACGCTTGAAAAAGATAATTTTCCATGCTTGAAATAACTTATGCCCTGATTTTAGTGATTTTACTGATCTCATGGGTGATTTTATTAAGTCATCCTAATTTAAAAAAGACCAGTGGCTATTTTGTTTTATATTTTTATATGACTATATTTCCAAGTTTTTAAGACAATAGTCCATAAACATAATCAGTAAAGCTTTTTTAAAAAAATCAACATTTCTTTTGGTCTCAAATTATCTCAATAGCAAACAGAGTGGAGCTTCTACCTCATTAATAATCTAGAATAACAGAATAGCTAACAGCAAGAGAAGGGATAAAAAATTTAGAGTTCCTAATTAGATGACAAGTATGATAACTTATATTTTGCAGAGGGTGATAAAGGTTGAAAAGAAGTGTTTCTGAAAGACATTTAGATACATTTAACTAAAATAAAAAGAATACAGTACGATTATACAGTCCAGAAAGTTCTCAATGTTGCTATGTTCTTGGCAAGTGTGAGGTAATATGATGTATAAGGAAAGCAGGTCCTTGAATAACACTGTTTCAATATTCGCCAGGATTGATTTTTTTTCTTATCAACTTTATAACATTGAATGCCATTATTTGAGGACCTGCTATATATTATCTAAAGAAGAATGTTAAAATTCTCACCCTAGAATAGCTATTAACATTTCTGTCTTTAATTTTTTTTTAAACAATTTTTTTTAAAGATTTATTTGTACAAAAACAGGGGTACAGTCAGAGGCACAGAGGGTGAGAGAATTCACCAGAGACAGAGCGGGGAGCAGAACAGTCAGACAGATGGAATAATGCTGAGGGGAGCAGTGGGGGAGGCAGGAGAGGTTGGCTTTGTCATATGGGTTGCTCCCTGGCAGGCCGAGGATCGAACTGGCACTGCAGAGGCTAAGGACAGCTTCATAGCGCGGCGCTCAATTCACTGCGCCACTGGAGAGTCCCGTTTCATTTTTTTAATGAAAGAAAACCAGAATCGGGCCTCCCCAGTGGCGCAGCGGTTGATCGCTGGGTTGCGAAGCTGCCCGCAGCCTCTGCAGCGCCGGTTCGATCCCCGGCTGCTCCCCGGCCACTGGAGGAGGGTCCCACATGAAGCGCAGACCTTTCCTGCTGCCCGCTGCTCCCCTCAGCAGTGTACTTCGGTCCTTCTGCCTGTTCTGCTCCCCGCTCTGGCTCTGGTGAATTCTCTCACCCTCCCGCGCTTCTGACTGTACCCAGTGCTTGTATGAATAAATAAATAAAATAAAATAAATCTTAAAAAAAAAGAAAGAAAACCAGAATCACAGAATATAATTTGGGTAAAACTTTTTTTGCTTTTTACCACATAAATGTATCATGAGTATTTTCCCATTTCACAGTTGTTTTTTTGAAAACATAATTTGTAATGGCTTTACAGTTATTACTGCAGAGGTCAACATGCCTGTGAGGGTAATCATGGCTGTTGCAGTGGTGACAGTGACAGTTGGCCAGCTTCACCTGGGGCCTGTGCATGGTGAGCAGCTGAGAGTGGGGCTTCTATCACCATTCCCAGTGTACCTGACTCCGTGTTGGACCCAAGGGAAAGGCCAACAGCAAAGCTGTGTGGATTTGGGTAAGGGCGGGCAGTTGAGCTCAAGGCCAAATTGGCCTCTTGTATAACTTCTACTCTGACAAGGTCCAGCAGCTATGCAGGTCTGACCCAGCAGCTTCTGAGTCCCAACTGGAGAAACCAATGAGTGAGTTTCAGAAGTAGCTAGTGAGACGCTCAAGGCAAGTAACTTTACCAAATGTGTGGAATAGAATATAAGCAGAGGAATCACTAAGGATAGGGCTTGTGTCAGTTCAATCTTTAACAGTGAGATGGTGAAAGGGAAAGCTGCAGAAGAAATAAAACAGATTTGTGAGCAGCTTTATTTTGCAGCAATACAGTCTTCACAGTTGTTCCTAAAAAGAAGTTATATTTGGTCCAGAACCAGGGTCAGTCCAGTCCAACATTTCTGTATGCCCTAAGAAGGGAAGATTATGTGTTCTCTGCAAGAAAATGGACATGTACTGAGTACCACTTTACTGAATATTTGGAACCAAGGGGAAGCTGTTGTCAGTCAGTTGATTTTATGTGACTACTCTGAACTTGAGTAAAAAAACATAGTAAAAGCAGAAATGGATTCCACATTTCTGAATATTTCTGTGGCACAATGCAATGCTAAACAAGTTCAGCTCTTCCATGCCACTGGTCAGAAAGCAACCTACCGGTTAATGGAGACCTTTCACTTCAGACCAAAGGAGTTCAAATATGTTTGTCATTGCTGAATTAAAACAAAGTGGACTTGGAGCAGAACTGAAATGTACCCAGAACTAGAGTAAGACTTATAAATGGATGTGTTTGCTTACAGAATCTGCTCAGCCTTCGGATAGTCTAGAGTCTACCCACCCTCTTGAACTCTCAGGTGTCAGCTCAGCATGCACAAGGAGCAGTCTCCAGTGATTAATCATGGAGGTGAGCCCTGTCACTTGATATTCAGGAATGAAGGTATCCAAACATTCTAATGATTATCTCCCAGCAAACTTGAGGTTTCTTTTTTTAAGTATGTAAGGTCATAAACAGAGATAGCCATTCATGGTTAACTTGATTTCACACAGCGTAAGGGTGTGTTTGCATTCTAGCCATTTTGCTGACTAACTCCCAAGTGATTAGTTCCTCATCTTTATTAAAACTTGTGACAGGATAAGCACAATTTGTTGTTAGCAACAAGCTTTACATATTCTTCCTATCTACCACTTCGCTGGCCAAAGGCATAAGCCAATATTTTACTTAGACTCTAGAACAACCAGATATTACCATCAGGATTAAAACTTCCTCTAGATGCGAGCTAAAATTACCACTAGTATAGCTGGCTTGGAGTGGCAGGAGATTTTAGGTATAGTTAAACACACAAGTACAATGTTCTGCATATTTGTTTTTTTTTTTTTTTTAAGATTTATTTATTTATTTATTTATTTATTTATTTATTTATTTATACAAGCACTGGGTACAGTCAGAAGCGCGGGAGGGTGAGAGAATTCACCAGAGCCAGAGCGGGGAGCAGAGCAGGCAGAAGGACCGAAGTACACTGCTGAGGGGAGCAGCGGGCGGCAGGAGAGGTCTGCGCGCCATGTGGGACCCTCCTCCGGTGGCCGGGGAGCAGCCGGGGATCGAACCGGCGCCACAGAGGCTGCGGGCAGCTTCGCAACCCAGCACTCAACCGCTGCACCACCGGAGAGGCCCTGTTCTGCATATTTGTAAGCGTCTCATGTTTTACCAACTGTGCTAGTGGGCTCCCACTCCTATTATTTTTAAACAACAGTTATGGCACCTACTCCTCTCATTCTGCCTGTTGGAAGATGCATATCTGAAGAAGGTAAATCAATGCAGTGTCAATAAATCAACATTTCTGTAAGAGGACCAGTCTAGAGTTGCGTATTTTTGCTTTTTTTTTTTTTTAAGATTTTATTTATTTATGCATATAAGAACTAGGGTGTAGGCCAGAGGTGTGGAGAGAAGATTCACCAGGGTGGGGAGCAGAACAGGCAGATATACTGAAATACACTGCTGAGGGGAGCAGTGGGCAAGACAGGAGAGGTCTGCTGTGCCATGGGGGTTAGCTCCCTGGCCGGGATGGAACCTGTGCTGCAGGGCCCCACAATATAATTGCTAGCCTTCTTTACCATGTCATTTCTTTTCTTGATCTAACATGCTCCATTTTGTCTGCTGTTATATGACTCTCTGGTAATATGACACTGATTATGTTGAGTGTGTGTGTTTGATTTCTTTATTACAAAAGACTTTTTTATAGGTTGGCATATCCCCAAGCTCTCAAAATGGAATTGGACTTCCCAGTATTTTCTGAAATGTGTCTATTTTGTTGTACTTTGGAACCTGTGTGCAAAAAGACAGACATTGCTTGTTTAACAGCCTGGAAAAGCTGTTAGGCGTTGAGCTATTTCCTAATTCTGGATCTGCCTCTACTCCTGACGGTTCATTTTTTGGAGAAACTTCAGTGTGTACATTTTGAGTTCCAGGAATTTTTGAAATCAGGTGGAGTTGCTTTCATGGGTATCCAGTTGTATTTGGTTTTCCCTCCAGCTGGACACAGTTATTAGTCACGGTATGTTTTTTTAATACCTACACCGGAGAATGAAAAAATGGGAAAAGAAATAAAAATTGGCTGTTCATTTAATGGCTTCTTCCAGCTTTGCTCTAAACCCCCACTTGCCAAGGAAGGCTATATCCATTTACAATTATTCTGGACATGATTTAAGTACCATCTGTCTTTTCTTTATATTTACCTAGTGAGATGTAGCCAACAATGAAAAGAAAATTGTGGCATTTAATCAACTTAATTCACTTATGGAGATAATAACTACCTCACAGGGTTACTGAGAGAATTAAATTACTATATGTAGAATAGTAAAGCTTTTTACCCTTTTCCTCTTCTCTACTTACACTGTCTCTTGCTAAACCCCAACATAAAATAGCATCTCAGATATGCAGATCATTCTTTATTCCAGGTTAAGAAGCAAATTCTTTCTCACAGGTTCTCAAACTTTAAGTTCGGTATAAATACTTAGCGAACTTTAAAATGCAGATTGCCAGGTTCCAGACACACACCCCTCCCACCCCAACTTGCTGAATCAATCTTTGCAGAAGACAATGGGAATCCGCATTTAATATTTATTCCAGGTGACTGAGGAAGGTAATTAGCCAACCACACTGAACACCACTGCCTTACCTATTCTTTTTTTTTTTTTTTAAAAGAATTTTTTTTTTTAAAGATTTATTTTTATTTATTTATAAAAGTACTGGGTACAGTCAGAAGCGCGGGAGGGTGAAAGAATTCACCAGAGCCAGAGTGGGGAGCAGAGCAGACAAAAGGATGAAAGCACACTGCTGAGGGGAGCAGCAGGTGGCAGGAGAGGTCGGTGCGCCATGTGGGACGCCCCCCTCTGGTGGCAGGGAAGCAGCCGGGGATCGAACCGGTGCTGCAGAGGCTGCGGGCAGCTTCGCAACCCAGTGCTCAACTGCTGCGCCACTGGGGAGGCCCAAGCCTTACCTATTCTTAACAAAAAATGCTCTTTCATTTTATATTTTATTTACTTATGTGTTATTCCCCCCCACCATACTATGAGCTTCTTATGGGCCAGGGTTTATCTTCATTCTTAGTGTCAAGGACATGACTTGGAAAATAGAAGATATTCAGTTGTTTGTTAAATAAATAAAGGGCATATATGGGCTTTAGTTAAAACAGTTTTAAAACGTACCTTTTGCATCTTATGGGAATATATCATTCTTACCCAAAATTTTGTGGTAAAGTCAACATTTCTCCCAACATTAAAATTTCAGCACCATTTACAGTTGAAGGATCATCTCTCATGAGCTGATTAAAGAGATCTCCTGTAGCAAGAGAAAAATACAAAATTCTAATAAATACCTTGCAAGTAAAATAAAAAAATAGTTGAGAGATATTTTAAAAAGGCCTTTTGACAAAAATTACATTTCAAAAATCTATTTTTTAGTCTTATATACAAATGCATGATAATTCCATCACAAGAGAAAGAACACTTCACAAATAAAGGAGCATGAACTACACATTAGAGAAAGCCCCAATAGCTTTAAATAAAGGGAATGTTAGGACATAGATTGATGGACTGTTTGAGGATAAATGGAATTGTAATAGTATTATGATCATGAATGTCAAAATTTTACTTTTAATAAAGATACAAAAGATAATATAATAGCCAATATTATCTGGAATGATAGATTATGAATAAGATCTGTTTCTCAGTTGGCCACCACTCACATTACAAAAACAGGCAATAAAGAATGCATAAAGTTGGGAAGGCTAGGCCTATTCTAAGATATAACAGGCAGTCCATGTTTCAGCATTTCCCAGTTGCAAGTAGAATAAAGTATGTGCCATACCAGGTAAATCTTTCTCCTCACATGTTACTGGAATATTGGTGAATAAAGTAGGCTTAGTCAAACGCATCACTGTAAATTGAAAAAAAAAAATACTGCTTTGAGTTAATATTCTTAAGTATATATTGTCAATTTTATGTTAAAATAAAATACAGTCTGCACATTTTCTAAATTAAATATATTAACTACTTCCTAACATTGTTACACATCAATAATATAAACATTAATATACAGAGATTTATATAAGACAAAAAATTTGCTTCATTCATAGTCTAAAGAATTGTAAAAATTAAATGCGTATGTAGAAATAGAAAAAGTGGAAAATAAAGGGATTTTTACAGCTTAAAGTATATTTAAGGAAACCAGGGCTTTAAAGAAAAAAATGTTTAGACATACTATTTTGAAGATAAAACAGAAAATTTTTGCCAAAAGAATAGTGTAAAGAATGCTGGTGGGTTTAATTTCTTGGATATAATTATTGGCCACTAGAACTTCAGTAAGTGATCCTTTGAGTAATACTAGTTCTGTGTAGAAATTATGAATATACCAACATACACATTAAAACTAAGATTTGTTTTGGGAAGAGGCTAAATCCAAGTATTAACATACTTAATTCTCATGACTACTCTGTAAGGTCTGACTACATGTTAGTATTATCATCATCTCCATTTTATAGGTAAAGACTATGCCTGGAAAAGGTAATTTGCATACAAAAGATTATATAGCAGATAAATGGCAGAATCCAGATTTGAACTAGCTTTCACTCTTTCCAAAAATTTCTCTAGACCAGTTACTACTGACAGCCCTGGGTCAAAAACCTGGAATATCATGCCTTATCAGAAACAGCTCATGAAAATTTAATATAGGATTGTATCTCACAGCATAAACCAGTTTTGATCAATTACCTAAGGATGTGGGGGTGAAGTGATTAGGGAGTTGTTTATAACCTGCTCTTATTTTTTAACTAGAAAAACAAATTAAGTATAATCAGAAGGGAACAAAAAGATGTTCTAAAACCATTTATATATGGTTACATGTCAAACTTAATTAAACAAAGCTTTCAAAAATTATTTTTCATATATTTTTTAAGATTTTTAAAATTTTATTTATACAAGAACCAGGGTACAGATAAGATGCTTAGGAGGGCTGGCCTGCAGTCCAAGCCCAGAGGGGAGCAGGAACCCACCGCCGGGGCAGACCAGGCGCACAGGGGAGTGTGTCCCCACATCGGCATTTTAGAACAGGGACCTTTCTCCAGTAAAGACTGCTTGAAACTGACAGATGACTCCTGGAGGAACCAGAGGGGAACAGAGAAGCCCACCCAAGATGCCGGCCAGTCCCAACAACACAGTGTCCCAACGCATACGGCAAATTAGAAAACAGACAGTAGGGAGGAGAAGAACCACACGCAACCTAGCAACTCTCCAGAGAAAAAGCACACCACAAAAAGAAAACCAGCCCCCAGATTGCAACGACAATAACTTGGAAGAATTTCTGAGCCTTCCAGAAAGAGAATTTAAAATTGCCATGATTAAAAAACTGACAGAAGTCATAAAGGAAAACAATGATAAGGGAAAAATAATCAACGATCAGAAGAATGCAATTGAGTCCCTAGAGAGGGAAAACAATGGTCAGAAGAAAGAAATTGAGTCCCTAAAGAGGGAAGTAAAAGAAATGCAGGAGATCAAAGAATTAATGGAAGAACTAAAGAATTCTGGGAAAAGCAATGAAAGCAGAATAGATGAAATGGAAGAACGAATAAGTAATCTTGAAGACACAGAAATAAAAAGAACCAAAACAGAAAAGGAAAGAGAAGTACAAAGGAAAAAGAACGAAGAAAGACTTCGGGAACTATCTGACTCCATGAGGAAAGGAAATATAAGAGTTATAGGAATACCAGAAGGAGAGGAGAGAGATGTAGGAACAGAGAAAATATTCAAAGAGATAATTGAAGAGAACTTCCCAAATGTGAAGAAGGAGCTGAAAATTGATATACAAGAAGCAAGAAGAACACCAAACTTCCACGACGAAAGGAAAAATACAGCAAGACACATAATAGTAAAGCTCCCAAGAATCCAGGACAAGGAAAAAATAATGAAGCTGGCAAGAGGGAAGAAACAGATAACATTCAAAGGAAAACCAATCAGGCTGACATCAGACTTCTCCGAAGAAACACTACGGGCAAGGAGAGAGTGGAGGGACATAGTCAACAGACTCCAAGAAAACAGATGCCAACCAAGAATACTCTATCCCGCAAAGCTCTCCTTCCTCTTTGAAGAAAGAATATGGACCTTCCCAGACAAACAGAAACTCCGGAATTTCACCGCAACTAAACCCCCACTCCAAAAAATACTACAAGGAGTCCTAAAGCCAGAACCTCAGAGGGACGAATAACAATGAAAGAAGGCCAAAAAAAAAAAAAAGTTATTAAAAGAATAAATAAATAAAATCAAAGGAAAGACAAACACAATGGCAAATACAGATGTTAACATATCAATATTAACTCTAAATGTAAATGGACTAAACTCTGCAATAAAAAGACACAGAGTTGCAGCCTGGATTAAGAAACAAAACCCAACCTTTTGCTGTCTCCAGGAAACACATTTAGCTACAAAAGATAAAAATAGCCTCAAAGTTAAAGGATGGAAAACAATCCTACAAGCAAATGGACCAAAAAAGAAAGCAGGAACAGCTATACTTATATCAGATAAAACAGATTTCAAACTCAAAAAGATAAAAAGAGACCCCAATGGTCACTACATTATGATCAAGGGGACAATACTTCAAGAAGAAATAACACTCATTAACATATACTCACCAAACGAAGGAGCACCAAAATATATCAGACAACTGTTGTCCTCTCTGAAAACAGACATCAGAGAAAACACATACGTAGTGGGAGACTTCAACACACCACTATCAACAATGGATAGATCAACAAGACAAAAAATAAGTAAAGAAACCAAAGCTCTAAATAAGGACCTAGAGCAATTGGGCTTAACAGACATCTATAGAACACTAAACCCCCGAAAAACGGAGTACACATTTTTCTCAAGCGCACACGGATCATTCTCCAGGATCGATCACATACTGGGGCACAAGACAAACATCAACAGATACACCAAGATTGAAATCATATCAACCATCTTTTCTGACCATGAAGGCATCAAACTAGAAATAAACCATAAAAAGAAGGCAAGGAACTTTCCTACCTCATGGAGATTAAAAACCACACTACTGGAAGACCATTGGACTAATGAGATCAAAGAAGAAATTAAAAAATTTTTTGAATTGAACGACAAGGAGGACACCAATATCCTAAATGTATGGGATGCAGCAAAAGCAGTAATAAGAGGAAAATATATAGCAATAGAAGCTCACATCAAGAAACAAGAAAGAACGCAAAGAAACAACCTAATCTCGAAGCTCAAAGATCTAGAAAAAGAACAACAAAAAAACCCCAAAACCAGTAGAAGAAAAGAAATAATAAAAACCAAAGCAGAAATAAATGAAATTGAAACTAAAAAAACAATCCAAAAGATCAATGAAACCAAGAGCTGGTTCTTTGAAAAAATCAATAAAATAGCCAAACCGCTAGCCAGGCTCACAAAGGAAAAAAGGGAGAAAGCACAAATAAACAGGATCATCAATGAAAGAGGAGAAATCACAACGGACACAGCAGAAATCAAAAGAATAATCAGTAACTACTATGAACAGTTATATGGAAACAAGTTTAACAATCTAGAGGAGATGGACAAATTCCTACAACTCTATAATCACCCAAAGCTAGATAAAGAAGAAATAGAACACCTAAACAGACCAATTACAAGCAGCGAAATTGAAATGGTAATCAAAAACCTCCCCAAAAACAAAAGCCCAGGACCTGATGGATTTACAAATGAATTCTACCAAACATTCAGAGACGAATTAGTGCCTATCCTTCACAAACTCTTCCAAAAAATTGAGAAGGAAGGGACAATACCAAACACGTTCTATGAAGCCAACATTACACTAATACCAAAACCAAACAAGGACAACACAAAAAAGGAAAACTACAGGCCAATCTCCCTAATGAACACTGATGCAAAAATCCTCAATAAAATTTTAGCTATCAGAATCCAACAATGTATCCATAAGATAATTCACCACGACCAAGTAGGATTCATTCCAGGGGCACAAGGATGGTTTAACATCCGAAAATCAATCAACGTTATCCAACACATCAACAAAAAGAAATATAAAAACCATATGATAATATCAATAGATGCTGAGAAAGCTTTCGACAAAGTGCAACACCCATTCATGATAAAAGCCCTTGAAATTCTTGGGATACAAGGAAGATACCTCAACATCATAAAGGCCATGTATGACAAGCCAACAGTCAGTATCATTCTCAATGGTGAAAAGCTGAAAGCAATTCCATTAAGATCTGGAACAAGACAAGGATGTCCACTCTCACCACTGCTTTTCAATATAATACTGGAAGTCCTAGCCAGGGCAATAAGACAAGAGAAAGACATCCACGGAATCCAAATAGGAAAAGAAGAAGTCAAACTATCACTATTTGCAGACGATATGATATTATACATAGAGAACCCCAAAAACTCCACAGAAAAGCTAATTCAACTCATCAATCAGTTCAGTAAAGTGGCAGGATACAAAATCAACACGCAAAAGTCAGTAGCCTTCCTATACACAAACAATAAATCTGAAGAAGAAGAAATCAAAAAAAACCATCCCTTTTGTTATTGAAACAAAAAAAATCAAATATTTGGGAATATATCTAACAAAAGAGGTAAAGGACCTAAACAAAGAAAACTATAAAACACTGTTAAAAGAAATAGAAGAAGACACAAAGAAATGGAGAGACATCCCCTGCTCATGGATTGGAAGAATAAACATTATTAAAATGGCCATCCTTCCAAAAGCAATATACAGATTCAATGCTATTCCAATCAAAATTTCAATGTCATTCTTCAAAGAAATAGAACAATTATTGATGAAATTCATATAGAATCACAAAAAACCCCGAATAGCCAAAGCTCTCCTGAAAAAAAAAGAAGGGAATGGAG